CATATGAAATTTTGGGGGCATAAAAATTCTAGAGTCTTCACTAAATTGGGATAAACTTGCAGGGCCAAAAATGCACGAGATATTAGAGAATAACACTATTAAAAGATACATCGTGTTGCATTGTCAAAGATAGAGTTCAAGACTACGAGTCACTCTTGTTGAATATGAAGTGTAACCACTATACTAAGGTTCAAATCGAAAGATAACTTAGTTCATTCTCGATCTTATATGGTTATTGATGCCCATATATAGTTTCGAAACAATTCAAGTGGTGGATTGTTAGCATGAATAACTTTTGAAAGCTATATATGAAATCTCATATGGAATACTACATTGGTAAGAGAAGCCTGCCAAAAGGTGTATAAAGATATGCCTCTTTCTCTAAAGGGTGTACTCCTTGGGTTTGTGGGAAAGAGAGGACCCTCGGGACCTCCATACCACACACACGTGTGCAGGTAGGTTGGTCGAACGAGTGGGTGGGTGAGGTTAATTGGTCGGCTTGAGACTATAATTGTTGGAGAAATTTCGTATTAATTATCATGTATCTTTGCCATATACGAAATCATGAAGGATAATGGAATAAAAGGAATATTCGGGAGATAATTCGAATTGATATCTTATTAGAATGTATTTTTAATTACAAGAGTAATTATCTTTCTAATTTAAACATGACTTATTTAAAATTTTCTGCTACTATCATGGTTGTTAACCAGATTTAGCTCGTAGGTCTAGTTGGGTAAGTGGGTTGAAAGTTAATGGTCCAACCACGTTAGCTCGCTTAGTCTGTATATACGAAAAAGTTATTTTATTGTTCATACATTTATAAATTTTATGAAATCTCATATAACATATGAGTAATGACATATAAGATTATATCAAACTAATAGGTCGTATTTGGATCTAACATAAAGTGAAAATTCACAAACACTTTAATAAATATTCAAAAGTTCAACTTCAAATTCCAAGGATAGGGTTCGACGAAGAGGAAAGTCGGAAAAGATGAGCATTTCGCAAAGGAAACAACGTATTTAAAATCGTGATTCTATGTAGAAGCGTTATGGTGACCTAAAAGCGGTAAAACTTAAGTTTTTAAGTGTTTATTTTGACTACACTTATAAGTAAAAAAAACACAATTCTGTGTAGAAGCAATTTGGTGACTCAGAAGTGTAAATGCGTAAGTTTTGAAGTCTTAAAACATGATTTTGAGTGCATTGAAAGCAAAGGGATAATCAATGTTGTTTGACCTCCAACTTGGTAACCTTACAGCGGATGACATGTTTTTCTCATCGGGTCAGGATCAAAATGAGATAACCGGTGGGTTGACAACCTTGCCTTCTGTAAATAGCTGAATTCCTAGACCCTATATTCACACAGTTTAGATAGCATAAAGCCATAAACACACGACAAAATGAAATTCGTTGTACTGCAATTTTCGCACAAATCTCTGTCAGAGAAGGGGTTACACGTTAGACTATTTTATCTTGGATGCGACTGACTAATAATCTGGTGTGCGCAACACAAAGTAGTGCTACAAACGTTTTAAAAAAGAGCGACATAGTCCGCGACGCATTCAGACCCGATATTTTTTTTTTTTTTTGTGTGTTCGGTTTCTAATGGATCTTTTTGGCATCCCGATACATGAACGATAGAGAAATCCTTGCTAGCAAAAGGTGCGTAGGTAGGTAGGAAGTCAGGCATACCAATCGAGTTGCCGATCACGAGCATGATCGATGGATCCAACAGACTGGAGCACGTAGATGTCACCTAATTTGTGGTGATCATGACAAGAAATTGATGGCACCAAATTAAATGTTCCTTCCGATCGGATCGAAGGAGAGCTTGGCAATGACAATGGCATGTGAAGCTTTAATTTGGAAATTAAAAACTATGGACTCCTTTCTGGCGTAGCGTGTCGTGGAGGCGTAATTGAAACGGCCGGTGAACTAGATGTAAGTCGGTGAAACGGTTAACCACATTGCTACCTACGGCGGTCAGTAAAATGTGTATGGTAAGTTACGGAATATTGTAAGTGGGATGGATTTTATATTTCATCATCGACTGGAAGCATTATTTAGATAACCAGTGGAAGATAGGAGAGTTGAAATTAATTTTTCTATGTATGTACGGTGTAAGAAGGGGTTACACGTTAGACGGGCGTCTAGCATCTAGCTTGCCTAAGCATTACCTAAACATTGAATACGAAAAATAAATTTTTAAAAAAATAGTTTTACAGTACTTTCTGCAACTAAATCAAATGAACTTAATTAACGGTTAATAATAAACAGAATAACTCACAGTTACCTAAAATCAGAAGTTCATGCACAAAAAGTAGAAATACAAGTTCATAAAAAGTAGCAACAAATTTCTTCACCATTCATCATTCATAATTCAAATAGGTCCATTATCCACTCGTCACTTCATTTCATCATCCTCAAAAGCAACCTCATTCTCTTCTTATATTTGAATTCTTCCTCATGATGCTCTCTCACAAGAAATTTATTCACCATTCATCGTTCTCTTCATATACTAGCATGCATTTGGGGAAAATTGGAATGCATTTGGCCGCTACTTACTAGTTTGCATTGGAGAAACATTTATATGTATTTGACTATTTGTCTATTGCTGGTATGCGTTGAGACAATAGCGGTATACGTCGACTTGCCGGAATTTTGCTACCGACGACTGGATTGCGGCTTCATGAAATCCGAAGCCAAAAATTAACATAAAATATATCTTTAAAATATATAATTAATAGAAATTAAATTCATTTGTTAGTGTTTATTTCCTTTTAATTCCTTTTTCCCTGTTGCTTCTATGGGTGTCGGCATGATATAATAACACTTTGAGTGTTATATTATACTGTTTTTTTTTTCATATTCAAACAAAACGATAAAAAGGATGTAAGTTTGTAATAAGTTTGAAGAAAGGAGGACATATATTTCTTGAACTAGAGGTGAGAAAGCAAGGTTGTCAAACCGGTTTATGCCAGTGTGCCGGTTTAGCAAGTGGAATGGTTCAACCGGTGGCACATACCGGTTTGTGCCGGTTCATGCCGGTCAATATTACAAATAAAATTATAAATACTCATATTTAAACATGACATTTAACGTCAATACCTAAACATTTATACTTGAATCCAACAAATAACATCAATATTTAACTTTTGTACTCATAAAATAAATAATAAAATAATTTTTATCAATTAAATTCTCTAAAATAAGGTCATTTTACTTAGACATTCGTATATCGATCATACCGATCATACCGGTGGTGTCACGCCGGTTTTATGACCGGTACCGGTTGAACCCGGTACAACCGATGGCACGCCGGCCGGCGTGACAACCATGTGAGAAAGTGAATGGTTGATCCCGTAAATGAATAAAAAGAAGAGCATGTTAGACTCACTCACTGCAGCATTGAAAAGCCAATCCAACGACATCAAAGAAGAAGAAGGTGGAGATGATTACAATGAGATATGACCGGAGAAAGACTATATCAATCTCGAAAGAAAAAAAAAAGTAAGGATGTTTTCAATTTATATGAAAATAAGGACAAAATTATAATAAAAATACACAACACTATGGTATTTTTCAAATACTATTCCTCCCCCAGTGAAGAATAAAACATTTGGGGTAGTTTGGATTGAGTATTTGGGGGTGTTATTTGGGGTCAAATAACACAAAATCTGTTATTTGACCCCAAATAACATGTTTGGCTGACAAAAAGTGGGATGTGTTATTTGGATGTATTGTTTTGCCAAATAACAGGTTTGAGACCAAATAACACAAAAAGTGTTGTTTGCCAAATACTTGGGAGGGGGCAGGTATTTGCCAAATAACAAGTTTGAGACCAAATATCACATACTAAATAACAAGTTTTATATTATGTGCTATTTGTGTGGTAATTGGCCCCAAACAACAAGTTTGTCAAATACTCAATCCAAACGACCCCCGTTGTATTCGAAGAATATCACTCTAAAATTACTATTTTTTTCCTAACCAAACATAGTACTTATGCACAAAGCTCAATCATATGGGAATTGACCCCGAATAATACACGCAAATATATGCATGCCAAACGATTCATTTATTATTTCAAGAAAGTATTTTATAATATTTTAAATTATCGGTGCTTTGGTTTTAAAAAGCTCTTTATGGTCCAAATTGTACTTAATTTAACTTTAACATTACGATACATTCCTAAATGTTTTTTGTAAAAATTTAATTATGATATAAATTTAATTTGTATCTTTATGTTATGGTACAAATTGAACTTGTACCATACAATAAAAATACAAAATCTTTATAATACAAATTCAACTCTGTATTGTACATTTAAGTACAATATCAATGTGCATAATAAAAACACCAATAATTTTAAAGTAAATCCCGAAACAGCACGTATCTACTAGGCTACAACAAATCAAACACATACCCTAAACGGATATTCGTGTTTGCTAAGTAAATCCCTAATTACAGGGAGGGCAAATTACAAAGAACTACCCCATACTTTAACAGGCTAGCCAATTGGCCGGTCACCGGTCACCACCCGCCTCATAACGGCAAAGGAGAATGGAAAGAAAAAGAGGAAACGGAAAACGGAAAGGAAAATTACTAAAAAAGGAGTGGGCGGCCAGAAAAGCAGCCCCACACTCTGCGTGACTGTGTGTGAGCGAGTGAGATCACAGAGATGTTGACTGGTCGGTTTAAAACCGCGATAAATGTGGAGTGACGTGTCGGTGGATGCTCCGTCCCCCGTGATTCCCATTTCTTAATTATTATTATTATTTTTAGTCGTATTTATCATAACGTTAACGACAATGTAACGGACCATCCCCTTCCCCCCCCATCCCCTTCTTTCACTTTATATTTTATGGTTATCATTATTAAAATTAAAATTAAATTAAAGAAGAAAGTAAAGATCAGTGAATAAAAATGGTGGTTGGAAAATCACACCATAATACTCTGATAACATAACATTTTAGACGGCATATGCCCCAACGCTAAAAAGCACTTCACCTCTCTCTCTCTCTCTCTCTCTCTCTCTCTCTGCCCTCCATTAAATAATTGAAGGAAGCCCAATCGGGGCTGCTGTGTGAGACGCCCGCCATCGGTGGAACTAGTGGGGAGCGGTGGTAAATCGAGAGGTCTGGCGGGGATAAGAAGCGTCGCCCTCAGAGTTCTCGCCCGCAACAGCGAGGACGACGGCAGCGGCGGATTCAGGCGGTCGAGGCGGAAGTGGTGCAGCTTGGTCGCCGGCGCCGGCAAGAGGAAAGGATTCAGAGTTAAAGATCGATTGATGGATTGGTGGAACAAAGTTGTCTTCCCCGTCCGTCGCGTTTGGGTCGCCGTTTCTGCCCGCGTCAAGTCATCACGCAAACACGGTATGTAACCCAATTCTCCTCTTTCTTCTTCTTCTTCTTCTTAGTTAGTTTTCCCCCTTCTCCTGTTTTTGCAGTTCTGATCCATCGCCACCCATTTTCTTCTCCTCTTTCACCATTTTTATTCACTGATCTTTTCTTCCCGCGGAAAGAAAAAAAAAAGGAAAGATTCCTCGAAGAAGTAAAGCCAACCAGATTTATTTGACTCGGAAAATCAATTAAGCAGATTTCATAGTTGCAACTGCAAGCAGTTCTTTGTTATTTCCCCACGAGAGAAGTGTATAAATAATAATTTCCTCCAAAATAGTAATTCAACTGTGTAAAACTCCTATATTCTTTTTGATGAATAATGATTCTATCCTCATAATAGAAATTTGCACGAAATATTCGTTTGGTATACAACTCCACGCCGAAAGTTGTGCACTGTCTTTGCGAATTTCAAACAAAAATAAAAAAAAATCTTGATTTGCCATGATCTTCTTTCTTTACCCTTTCCTTTAATCATCAGTAAAAAAAAAATTGATTTCATCTTGTGGTGATTTTATTATGAGCAAGTGGTGTGAGTAAAGGTAAAAAAGTAAAGTAAGCATCATCATGTTGTTTCTTTCCCCTTGAGAAGCATCAATGATCGACGGCTGTTGAGATTCAAGATCGTCCTTACCGTTTTATGATCTTGACCTACTCGATTTAATTCGAGTTCTAATGAGTGTGGCCCCTAATAATCCGGATTTTCAATGGACGCTGTGGCTGCTGACCCCGCCTCCTCCACCGACGCAGCCCATAAAACAATATGTAATTTGTCGCTTACGGAAAGCGGCATTACCACTTGGAACAACCTCAGTCACTAGCTAGATATTATACATCCTCTTATTATTAATTAATTAATCATCAGAGTTCATGTCGACAAAGCTGCCAAGAAGATAGAAACGGACTAACGGCGGAGAGTGGGGTGTTTCCCCGTTTTGTAACAGGTGGCGGGATTCTGATGCTCCACAACGACGTCCAGACTTGCGGGTACGAGGACGTCCAGGTCATGTGGGAAATGCTGCGCCGCTCCGAACTCGAGATGGTCAACGGCGGCGGCCGCACCACCGCCGGCGATCTTCTCAAGCGGAACCGGCCGTTCTGGCGAATCTTCCTGTCGTCGAATGCGAGGAGGACGTGTGGCTCCACTTCGCCTCTCGCGGCGGATATAGCCTGAGATTGCTACCAGAAAAAAAAAAACCAGAGCCTCGGTCGCAGAGTTCGTCGACGTCGATCTATTCTCCGACCACCAACTACCCAGGCAGCCGTCATTGCACCTGCGCATGCTACAGTGCTGTTGTTATTGAAAGAAAGAAAGAGTTCTCTCATGATCCGTATCTTCTTGTTTTTATTAATGTCGCAGAATAGAACCTTGCGACAACCCGTTTTTTGTAAATAGCATAAATATTAGTTGCTCTCTTGCTCCTGCTGCTGCTTTGATCCGTCGTCAGAGATTGCTATATGCAATCCAAGTCGGTGAAGTCTATGTTAAAAAAATTGGAGTTGGTGTTTGTCTTTGACAATTTCGCATGATCTGGTTCTATCCTAAAAATATCAATAACTCTTCTACCAAAATAAAAATATCAACAACTCCTTCCTTCCATTCCAAAAAACAGAAAATAAGAACTGTCCATCATTTTCTACCATCTTACTGGGAGAGTTACCTAACAGAGTAAGGATGCTTTGTTTACAATTGTACTCAACACAAGTCCTGTAGTTTATACGCAACGTTCTCTAACTGCCCTCCTCCAAAAATTAAGCTTCTGCACCAACTTGGCAGCTTTCTACAAAGGAGCACCTGGCCCCTGGGATTTTTTTGCTTTCTTATATTAATTAGAAAACCAAGCCCGTGCATCAACATATCCTTCATTAAATCAAAGCATTTTTCTTCTACTGAGAAAGTATTAAGAAGTTTGCTAACTCGAAGCTAGGCCATGAATGACGGTGAGGACGATACCTGTTAAGAGATGGAGGGTCTCGCGAATGCCGAATTCTCCTAGCCTAAACGGAGCACCTTCTGCGGATCAAGTTGTCCGCTACAGTAACTAGAGGGAACAGCTGAAAGCTCCTGCCTGCCTTTCCATTCTTCCCCAGGTTTCAATGTTATCGGCTTCTCCACACAAGCAGCGCCTACCATCAGCATATGCTTGTACTCCTCATCACCTAAATCCACGATTTCCTTCGCTCTTTTGTCCCATGGATTCCAAACAACTGCAAAGCAAAAGTCACAAAAGTAACTTAAACAGCTTTCAGCAATGAATTTTTAGAAGGCCATTCTACTAAGAGTGAAAAACAAAAGTAATGCAGCAGCTAAACACACAGGGGAAAGGTTACAAAACCTCCATAAACAGCTATGCAAGTTTGCATACGGACAAGAGAAAAGGAGGATCACTAACCGGCATCCGGAAGTCCATCTTTCCGCAATACATACGTTCTCTTCCTCTCATGGTCCAAAATAGCTATCTTAGTAGGAGTCTTCAAGTATACTTTGTCAACCTTTAGCATCAGAATATAGTATTACCATCACCAGTTTATAACACAAGGGCGAGGTAAAATGACAAACATAACTACAAGGAAACTTAGATACAGACTTCTGATTCAAATGTTATGGCATCGCCTTGTTCAGTAACTCGATCCCTGCTGTTAAGGTTATCCAGATAATCCAATGTCTCTAATCCTTCTATCCGCACTTCACTAGATGAAAGCAAAAAGCGGTCTTGGTCATTAAGGAGAGACATACCAGAAAATTGTTTTGTCAATGAAACCAGTGAAATTCACATTTCAATGAAACTAATTGTTATCTGAAATGAACAAACATTGAATTTACAGGCAGGTTGTTGCAAAGGCTTCTAGTTTGCACATAATTTAACTTCACGATGCACTCATGCACACAACTCCAAGTTATAATTTAGAGAGTTTGCAGCAGCCACACTTGCTATCCGTAAAGAGGTATTTATGACTAGGAAGGAATGTTAAGCTTCTGAACTGTATATGACTATGAATCCGCTCCAGATTACTTAAGTACCACTGAACTACATTCTACAGTAGGGACATCATACTCTCACTTACTGATTCTTCACTCGTGATTGGATAGCGCAACAAACTAACAAAGCATTGGAGGACCTCTATCAGCCCAGGCTGGTATACAAAGAACCACGGAACCCTAAGAAAAGCACTCTGTCAACAAGTTAATAGTACACTAGACTACAGCACCATGCATGGACACGCATACTGTTTGAAGTGAACTTTTCTTTTTAGCATGTTTGAATTGAACATTAAGGATAAGTAGTAAAACTTTTCCATTCAACAGAATGCATCCAATAGCAGCAAAACCTACAGAATGAGGACCCGTGGTCCCATACTCAGATACAGAAACAATTAAAGAAGGTCATGAGAAAACCTGATATCGGTGAGGTAGAAATAGTTGTTATAGGCGAAGGTAAATGTAAAAGGTTTCCCATCAGTATTTGTATTCCGGATGCGGGATGTCAACATCAGATCTCCTCCAGGTCCCAGAGTTATCCTTATCCGAAATTCGAATCTGAAAATAGTTGCAGCATATTACTATACAGACCCAAACTGGCTCAAAACTTAGAACTAACAATAATTTTTTTCTAAGGCAAGAAAATGAAAGTGAGGCCTGTTTTAAATCACAGAAGACTCGAAACCACCATAGGAGCGAACAAGACATGCACCTGTGAGGCCAGCTCTTTGGATCGTCTTCGGATGGTTTAAGTATTAAATCAATGAAGGCCTTATTGGAACTAACTGTAGGAAATGGAGGAGGGTCTTTATCGATGGTCCAAACGGTGTTTCTTGCAAATCCATGTTGTTCAAGGGAACCATGCATTCCAAACTGCAAGTGTTTAACATGGTAAATATGGAAGACAAGTTACTTAAGAAACTGAGCTTTGAGAAGAAAAGAGAAGCACCTACTTGAGGAAAGCTAATTGGGATACCTCCTCTTATTGCCGTTGGAGGTTTGAAAACAGCCTGCTCAAAGATAGCAAATTCACGATTTGAAAGGAACAAAGGCAATATTGCAGAAAGCAGGAAAAATAATTATATACAAAGGTGTTATTGCTGGCTTGAGTAGTGACCATATTAAGCCTAGACTAGATGACCAGAATGAATAAGTCTTTTAGGGCATGCAACCGAACTGATTTACAGAAGTATGCAGTGCCATACATTTTGAAAGTAACAAGCTACGCAAAAAGTTTGTCAAAGTTCAGGTGTGGGATTAACATTTTTTTTTTCGTTGAATAGTGTGGGATTAACATTGATGTTCATGAAAGAAGCCTTTTTTCAGTGAGTTGGAAAAGCAATTCTTCTTCATATTAGAATTGAACTTCCATAACCTTACTAAGGAAGCCAGAAGGATACCTTGCTACTAAGGAAAAGCAATTCTTCTCCATATTCATTCTTCCAAGATGTGACTTGACCTCCATTCAAGTAAACCTGTCCACAGATGGGGGTGTAAAAAACACAAGTCACCCCTCTCTTCAATAAAAATTCATGATATTTGAAGTTCAACTTCTAGAATTACGTAAAAAGATTTGAGAAAACAAAATCTGAACTTTCTTCCATCACAACAATTATGACTGCCGTCTCTCTTCCAATTCAAAGCAAAAGGAAAGTTATCTCACGGCTTGAAATGGATTGATACTAACGGTGAGCCAACTGACCTTCCATCGTTTTCACAGACCCGAAATTCTTATAAACTGCAACTCACTAGAGAAGTATTAACATCTATTTCGCATAAAACAATCCCTTCTCCAACCGTTCTCCAAGCTCCCAATACTTGTCTAGCCAACAAACCATTTCACTAGCTTGCCTATGCTACCAGTAAACGTCGAATCAGCAGCAGGAATCATTCATTTATCATCTCAAGACTCACAGATGAAGGTAATAGATCAGACCAGAGTTGCACAGAACAATGTGAAAGGGAAAATAATCAGCGTAGTGCTCCTACCGGATCCACCGGAAAAACGTTCTGAAGTTGGGATTCAATATACTTCGGAAAGAAATTTCAAAGCTAGGATCCAGGCAACTGAAGTGATAAATGCCTGGAGCAAACCATAAGCAACGAACACAAGCATTCCTCCTCTGTCAATCTCCACCAAATCCATTGATCCACTGGCTGAAATAAATGCTTCCTCGATGGGAAATTCGACTCAAACGAATTGTGGCCACCGCAATCATCATTCAAATTCTCAATCGTAACAGCAACAGAGCACAAATGACGACGACATCGTTGAAACCAGCTACGTTCGATCAGCTCAAATTTTGATATGGATCCGCGCGAAGGGAGAAATGTGCATCTGAGTGAACAAAGGAAGGGAAGCGAAGAAAGCGAGGGAAAGCAAAAACTACCTCAGCAGATTGGCCACGGACCTCGCGCAGGATGACCTTATCGAGGCCATTAACGCCCGTACAGAACTCCACGTACTTCTTCTCCCCGCCTCCGCCTCCCTCAAACGACGACATTTCTCCGGTTCTTCCCCGCCGTCCCTGTTCTTCTGCTTATCCCACTCGAGAGAGAGAGAGAGAGAGGCGAGGAAGAAGAAGAATGAATTGAAGAAGCGAAAGCAGCCGAGGCCTGAGCGTGATGCGGAAACAGTTTTGATGAGTGGCGATCTCAGGAGGAGATTAGTGTCGCCGTTTGGTGATATGAATTTCAACGTCAGGAGACGATCGATGACAACAAGAATTCCTTCGGTTATGATTTGCTGATGTATGATTGTGGAGAGAGATTGGAAGAACTCGCAGTTTCCTCCGGTCTCGTGGTTCGACAGACCCTTCCAGAATATTATTGAATGCTAGCAACTAGCAAGTGGCCCTCGTAGAATATTTTTGGATATATAACAATTTGCACTTTACATATTTCTTTTATTGTACATTTTGACAATATTTTTTTCCAATGATTGCTGGATCCAATATTTAGATTTAGGATGTGATCAATAGTTTCATTCGGGTTAATTGTATGGTTGGTCACTGAGATTATAAAAAAAACGTTCATGTTTGGTCACTGAAAATATTTAAATTTAATCTTGGTCACTCAAATTAGTTAAATAGTTCAAGTTTGTCACTCTCCGTCCAACTCCGTTAAATTTGTCTGATGTGGCAGTCAACCCTCAAAGTTGACCGTTAACTCAGTGATGTTACAATTAAAAAATAATAAATAAAATAAATGTGGATTAGGTCGGAAGGTTGTGGTGAAACAATGAAGTATCGAGAGGCATAGGGTGAAAAGCTGACACGGTAGAAGATTAAAATTTATTTTATTTATTATTTTTTAATTGCCACGTCATTGAGTTAACGGTCAACTCAGAGGGTTGACTGCCACATCAGAAAAATTTAACGGAATTGGACAGAGAGTGACCATACTTGAACCATTTAATTAATTTGAGTGACCAAGATTGGATTTAAATATTTCCAGTGACCAACACATGAACGTTATTTATAATCTCAGCGACCAACCATGCAATTAACTCGTTTCGTTCTTACACCAACTCTTTGAGATTTCATTTGGCAATATTCAAAATTCATTCTATGGAATAAATTTTTATATAGTCTCACATTTTTAATAACAGATCATTTTCAGTGTTAAAACGTAAAAATGAATCTACACAATAAATAAATGTTAAATGAGAAAACTTGAAACCTCATTTCAAATTTCCCGCATCTAGAGTGAAAGTAGGAAGGACATGCTCAGAGTTAACGTCGTCAGTGCTCGCAGCGGTGTCGGTGGGCGCCTCGGGAGTAGCGACATGCTCAGAGTTAACGTCGTCATTGCCCCAGAACTCGACCGCATCCCAGATCGAGTTAGTGTCCACACAACCTCGGGATACTCGCGGCGAAACCAATGACGAATGGCAGCCACGGTGTCGCGAAGCAGCTTCTTGTACTTCTTGTCATCAGCAACCTGGTACTCTTCGGAGGTCCAGAATGACTCCCTGGCCTCCTTGGCAGCCTGCAGCATGTCAGCCTCCCGGGCATCCTGCATCTCGGACTTCTCAGTCCGGACCTTGGACAGCTCAGTCTGCAGAGCGCTCTCCCGAGCTAGGGAGTCGTTAAGGTCAGCTCGCAACCGCTCAGCCCCCTCTTCAGCTTTCCTTAACGACTCTTTGCCCGACTCGATCTGGGCATCATTGTCCTTCACAAGCTGGGCCTGCTCCTTCAAAACCTCATCCCGCACCTCAGCCCTCACTCCTTCGCGACCCTCTTTGATCTGATCCTCCAACTTGAGGACCTTGGTGTTGGCATCAAGAAGATCATTCTGAAGGCATTCATTGTGCAACATCATCTGGTTTAAACCAAATTGGGTATGTGAAAGATAAGAGTTAGTAAAATGACAAGATTACAACAAGTGAACTCGAGAAGTCAAAGAAAATGCGTACCTCAAAGAAGAACCGAGAAGTGGCGGCCGCCAGATGTTTTGTATCGGACGCCAAGACCGGAGTCCCCGCAACTTGGGTATAGTCGTCGGGAACCGCCAGTCCCTCGGCAATCACATGCATGACACGCTTGGCGGCCACGGGGTACAGGGATGCCTGGGACGAGAAGGACACAGAGGTGTCAATGGAGGTCCTCTTCTGCCTCTTCGGCGCGATGTAGGAATCAAGGGGGGTAGCAGGTTTCTCCACAAGAAGGCCCTTCAATCGGGGCTCCCCAGCGGTCGATGCAAGGTCCTTAGAGGAGGTTATGTCCAAGGAACGCTTGGATGAATTCCTTGCAGGAGTGGGTTCCGACAGCTTTAAAACCCCTGTGCAGCTGGCCACTTGTTGTTTTTGGGAGGGCGAAGCCGGTTTCGCATTAGGAGCCGCCAAGCGAGCAGCATTGGCAGGACGAGGTGAAGCAGAGGCAGTAACTCCCGACTTCGGCGGTCGGGCGGAGGAAGCATAACGGCGGGCACCTGCGAAAAGGATACATAAGTAGAGAGCATGAGGAATAGGTTCAATACAAAGGAAAAGCAACTAACCGTGAAAGCGCCGAATAATCTCCAGGGCGTTATCATCGCCCTTTGGAGGGAGGTTAATCTGAAAGGCGCTCATGATTCGCTCTAAGAGCGGTTTGCAGGACTCGAGACCGTCAACGTCAGCGTTCCAATCTTTCTTGTCTCCAGCCGCGAACCCCGTCGGCGGCTCAACTTCCCCGGAGTACCAATTGCCCTTGGGACGGGCAAAAAAGTACTCTTTAAACCAAGGGGAGTCCAGTTTCGGCGCTCCTCTCACGAACCCCACCCGCGTCTCTCGGCGGTAGCAGAACCAGCAGTTTTCCGAGCCCCTCATTTTGTACAGTAGACGAAACGCATCAAAAGAGGGCGTCTCCTTGATCTTTGCGCATGCGGCTCTAAAGGCGATGGAGTGAAAGATGATGTCGGGTGACAAGCGGCCCAGTGTGCAGTTCAGGAAAAGGAGCGTCCGTGTAAGGATGGGGTCAAGCGGAAAAGTTAACCCCATCCGAATGTGCTCCACATGGATGGGAATCCAACCTCCCGGACATGACCCCGACCACCCAATCGGAGAAGGAGCCGCGTAATCCCAGTCCACACGGTGACCATGTGTTTTCAACTGACGCAACACCTATTGAGGCTTGTATGCCGCCTCATTGGGCGGTCCCTGCTCAAACGCACTCTGAGGAACCGCCTCCCCCTCCCACATGTCCGCATGCAACCTCACGCGGTAGGCATTGTCGTTAACAGCCTGGAACGCCGCCACCGGAAGCGAATCAGAGATCGTTAAAGAGGGTGATAGCTCCCTCTCTTCCGCTACCAGGCGTTCGCCAGACTCACTATTCGAGGAAAGAGAGACAAAAGGCATGGCGATAGGCAGTTCACTCTCAGCTTCTGAGTAGCTGAAGTCCCCAAGGTTGTCACCAACCGTCGAAGACGCTCCTCGGCGACCGGCGGACGTCCCCGCGACAGGCTCAAGAGTAGGTTCTACTCCTAAAAGGCCACAGAATGACCGCCTAAGTATTCGCTACGAAGGTCGCGTAAAACAAAACTAACTCTGTAAACCTAGCCTAAAACCGCGTAAAAGGAAGGGAAGGGCCAATTACCTGTTGCAGGTTGTTTGCTTCCAGAAGGCGGTCCACCTGACGAGCGGGGAGCACTGCTAGAAGTTCGAGCATTCCCGGAAGCGGTGGCGGCGGCGCCGCCGCTGGAGGTTGTGACGGCAGCGACGTCGGTGGACAGATTCCGATTCTGGCCATCGGATTGGGTGGTACTCTGAGACTCGATCGCCATTTGATATTTTCGTCTTCTTTTTGCTCGTTTCTGGGAACGTCGGAGTTTGGCAAGGAAATCTGCTCGCACTGGCGACAGAGAAGAAATATTTCGCAAATAAGAAGAAAGGGAGAATCGAGAACAACGAGCAATTTTGGCTGGAGAAAAGAAGGAAGCAGCGAGCAGAATGTAGAAAGAAGGAAGAAGAGAAGGAGGAGCGAGTTTAAATAGGAAAGAAAGGGGCAGGTGAAGCGACGGTTGAGTGACCGAGGGCAAACCCTACTCTAGGAATTTCAAAAACGCGGGCAGGCGATTGGACGTGAGAGTTGCTCGTTGTCAGTGCTCGGATTCCGAGAACAGACACGTGGCGCGACATGCAAACGGCGTAACGATCCGCGAAAGCTGAACCGACAGAGGATGGACCGCATAAATACGAGACAACCACCACTTCAGAAGGATGGACCATGCAGTTCATGATGAAACCCAGACGCGACCGAGAAGAGGGGACGGCGCAAGCGCTCGAAAATGTTCACCGCCCCAGGGCAGAAACGATAGGTTATGAAAGCTAAACCGCCTAAAGTTACCCGCAAGCTGAAAGGGGGTGGACAGTGCAGGCACTCAAACTGACCAAACGAGAATTCATGGATTGCGACAAGCAACCGCCTAGTGTTCGCCACGACGTAAAGGGGGTGGACAGTGCAAGCACTCAAAAGTCCTCAATCGAAAGTAGCCGACAGCATCAGGGAAGGCCCACAGCAAAGGCAGTAAGACGCATGGTGGAAAACCCCCGTCTCTTGGCGGCCAGGGGCAAAGGGCAGATATTGGTTAAACATAGGACCGCTCAACTATCATTAGGCAAAATGTAGCCGCCAAAACCCGCGGCTTTTCCCGACTAAAGGGCAATTGTTGGGCCCATAGTTGAGCAGTACTGGGCTTGAGGCCAATGAGAAGATGACCGAGCAGCAAGGGGAGGTCCGAGTCTCAGCGAGGAACCCGAGAAGGGGCATAGGGAAAGGAGAAAGGCAGGCGGCCACCCTATGACACGACAGGGAATAGGCCGCCCGACACAGGAGACCGTTGGTGTCAGAAGGAAGAAATCTTCCTAGGATACTTACCTCGGATACAGCAGGACTGAGCATTAAATGCCCGCCGCAGACGATCCAGATAAAGCAGGGTAGACATGGCATTTAATGCCTCGTACTCGAGATGGCTGGCTATAAATACACTGGTATCTGCATTAATGGTAACTCAACTACTCTCTCTCTCTAAACGTAAACCACACTTCTTATTCTCTCTCTAACTTGAGCATTGGAGGGTGTCCTGGGTGACCGCCCACAGACCCTTGTTTTGTAGGAGTTTGGAGTACACCCACCACCTGGAACAGAAGCCTTGCTCGTTCTCCACAAACCGCCTGGAACTTTCTAGGCTTAAACAGATTCAAAAAAAAAGTTTATCCACCAATGGATTACAATCTTCATTTGAGCAATGACTGTGAAATTCGATATGAAGACCCTGAACATTATAGGGCCCTTATTGGCAAGCTCATTTATCTTACAACCACACGTCCTAACATAAGTTATGTTACTCAACTGGTCAGCCAATTCATGGCTAATCCCAGTACAATTCACTACAAAGTTGTGGAGAGAATACTTTGATACCTCAAATTTGCTCCTACAACTGGTCTTTTCTTCTCCAAAAAGGATTCCTTTCAGCTTAAAGCTTTCACCGACTCTAACTGGGCAACTTGTGTTGACATAAGACGCTCCATCCTTGGTTACTACATCTACTTAGGTAATCCTCTTATCTCATGGAAAAGCAAGAAACAAAAAACTGTTTCTCAATCTTCCTAATAAGCAGAGTATTGTGCTCTTGCTTTCACAGTTTGTGAGTTGTGACTTTCAATGTCACTTGTATCTTGTAGCTCACTTTCAGGTCCCTCATTCACAACCATCCACTATCTACTGCGATAATTAGAGTGCCATCTACATTGTTGAGAATCCCACATTCTATATACACACCAAACACATTAAGCTTGAGCCATTTTATTTTTCCGAATTTATGATATTTTGAAATTAAAATTATTAAATAAGAAATAATAGGTGATTGGTGGAAATTTTAAAATAATTATATTTTTGTTATTTTAATAGTTGTTGTTGTGAGGTGGAGAATAAATATAATTAATCGTTAATTTTAGTGACCATAAATAAGCTGACGTCGAAATGGAGAATAACGAAAGGTAATGGAGAGTGACCAAACTTGAAATATTAAACTAATCTTAATGACCACAAATGAAATTATATATTTTTAGTGATCAAATATGAATCTTTTAAGTAATCTTAGTGATAAATTTATCCAAATTCTAAGTTTGGAAAGTAAAAAGGGAAGAAGATGAAGGTAGCAAAATTGAAGGGAGGGAAGTGTTATTATACAAAAAAATTTTGCATCGCTCCCAACTGTTTACTACAAATTAAACAGTTTTTGGAAACGAAAAGAAAAACATATGGAAACCAACTATTAAACGCTAACATGACCTTTTTTTTTGTTTCCGACAAAAATTCGATGCCCGCCCACCGCTGGGCGCTGGAGGCGGTGCACCCTCACCTTATTCCGGCGAGCCCCCAATTGCAGTAATATTAAGCCCTAACCTTTTGTTTTTTAATCTCTTTTCTAGTTTTCTTTAACCTCTAAATCTCTTTTAACCTAAATAAATAAATAAATCGTCACCACGACGCCGTTATGGCTACGCGGCCAGGGCCCACAAAGCCATCACCGTCATCATGATCCCAACATTGGTGACGCTCATCGGAGACGCACCACCAGAAGGTGCTTCCGCCGGCGCTTCGGCTTCGTCGGATGGGCTTTCCGCACTGGGGGATTCCGATCCCTTGGCCGGCGCGGGAGGAGACGATTTCGCGTAATAGTCGTCGGACGGCGATGGGGAAGAGCTGCTGTCCGGAGATTCTGACGACGAGCCGCCTTTGCTCGACTTGGAAGGCGCCGGGGAATCGTCGGATGAAGAGTCTGCCGGCGATGGTTCCGAGGATTTCGCCGCCTTGGGAGACTTCGACGCCGCGGGGGACTTCGATGGCGCGTCCTTCGACGGCGCCGGCGACGGGCTGTCGCTCTTCTTCTTCTTGGACGGAGCCGGAGCGGGAGAGTCCGACGACGGCGATGGAGCGGGCGCCGTCGATTTCCCCTTCTTCCCCCCGGAGGTGGAATTCGACGATTTCGAGGGCGACGGAGCCTTCGCCGGCGATTTCTTCGGCGGGGAGGCGTTCTTGGATGGGGATTTGGACGGAGCCTTGGACGGAGCCTTCGCCGGAGCACTCTCTTCATCGCCTTTCGACGCCGCCTTCTCCGACGTTTTGATATCATCCTCCTCCTCCTTCTCCTCGTCGCCGTCTGGTTTCAATGTCTTCGGCATGAACACCTGATTCAAATCCCCCGCCTTGTTCACCGCCGGAAACTCCCGCCGCGCCACCAATTTGCTCGACACCGCAATCCGGCCGGCAGAGTCGGCGCCGGCCCCCTCACTGGCGACGCTGACGACGGGCGGTGGGGAAACAATCACGCCGCTGACCTGGAAGATTGACACATTAAGCGACGGAACGACGACGGATCGGAGGAGAGTGACGGTACTGGGCTTGGATCGGGGAAGAATCGCGCTGGCGAAGGAAATCCGACCGCCTTTCCCTCTCTTGGTCACCAGCAACATTCCATCTTTGCCCCTGGCCAGTCCCGTCAGGACGTAAATGGTGCGGATCAATGCGGTGCCGTTTTCCAAACTCCTGAGGCGGTCCAAGTCGTAGTACTCGGGGATCACGTGCATTGTCATCGCCCGCTTGATCTCCTCACGTGACTTCCCGGAGATGGAGCCCATGTTGGCGTTGTCGACGGCGAGGATGGTGACGTTCTTCAGGTTCGTCATCATTCCGACGACGCCGACCTGGGCCAGGTAGTTGGAGAAGGTGCTGAACTGCCTCAGCGGGCCCAAGACCTGGGTTACGTTGAAGGCCGAACAAGAGCCGACGGCAGCGAGGAAGAGGAAGGACAAGAGAGCAAGATGTATTGAATTAGCCATTTTTGTGATTCAATGGTAAGGATTGATGTGTTTGTTTTGGATTGATTATTGATGAAGGAGTGGGTTTTTTATATAGGTTTGTGAGAAGAAAGGGAGTGAATTTGGTTGGAGGGAAAGGAGTGAGGCAATGTCGGATCGCCATTGCTGTATTGAGAGTGTTTATGGCGATAAGAGCCACTTGCAGACTCTGGATTGAACTTCGTACTTGAGAGGTCATTTCCGCCTTTAATTAGGGAGACCAATCGGTGAAATGGTGGTGGAAGAAGCCACGGAAACAAAGCCCAATAGCTGCAAGAGCCCAATAACGGAAGCGGGTCACCTGGAGGTCAAACCCGGCCCACTTCTCATTTCTCAAGTCTTCCAATCTCTAAGCTGCTCGATCAAATCATCACCAGCGATCTACTCAGAAACAGGGATCCAACGCCGGGAATAATATCTCCGTCGAGAACAGGTGGCATTCGGCGGCAAGCGCTAGCACTGAAGGAAAGGAGGAGGATGAAAACGCAAACCCTCGTGTAAGGCGACGCATTGGGTTTTGGCTGCTCTGCCAGTCTGCTAGTTTCTCGACGGAGTAAAATGAGGCAGCGACCTGTTGTTGCAAGACCCCTTACCATCGAAACCGACGATCAATTCTCCTCTTGGCAGCATAGTGGAGAGAAGAGATCCCGAGAATCCACTTCACTGTCGTCGTCCCCAACTGATAGTACCATCTTCTTGCTCTGTTTGGCGTTTCGGATAGTTAATTCTTTTCTTATACAGACGTATTTCAACCCAGATGAGCACTGGCAATCTCTGGAAGTCGCGCACCGCTTAGTTTTCGGGTAATCGTATAGATTCCTCATCTTTCCCACTTTTTGAATTTCTGCCTCGGGGGTTTGTAAGTCGCCGGATGCGATAAATGGTCTCTGGAGTTTTGCTGGGAATTGAGTGCTTAGAGGTTACAACCTGAAGTTCTCGGGTTCTATGAAGTTATGGAAGTTACTTTTTCTACTATGTAGCGAGATCAAGTGCATTTGCTTTATCTGAATGTTTCTTTGCTGGAAGTATGCTTTTCGTTTGATGAGGGTTTACTGCGACTGCTCCATCTGTTTGAAAATTGGCGATTGATTTATGATTCAACCTGCAGATATGGTCATTTGACTTGGGAATGGAGGAAGGGGATTCGTGGTTATTTGCACCCGTTGATCTTTGCTGGATTATACAAAGTTTTGGCATTTTTGGGTATTGATACTCCATGGCTGATGGTATGTAGATCCTCACTGCTACGTCGGCGTTTATTCAATACTAGTATCTTTAATTCATGACTAGGCATGAATGTAGGTAAAGTCTCCAAGGTTGCTACAAGCCCTGTTTTCAGCAGTTGGCGATTTGTACTGCTACAAATTTTCTTCTGTTATCTTTGGTACCATTGCTGCAAGATGGGCTGTATCCTTTTGAAAAATATGTTGTTTCATGGTTACAATTCATAAAAGAATCTAATTTTGGGTACTTCAAATCTTTTCTATTTCTGGAGTTGCACTTCCCTTAACTCAGTGACAGCTTTTCGCTCAGTTGACCAATTGGTTCATGTTCTTTTGCTTCAACCGCACATTATCAAATAGTCTGGAAGCTGTTCTTACACTGGTGGGTCTGTATCACTGGCCTTGTATGCGAATCTCTCCAAGTGATGCTTCCCTGGTTTCAAGGAAGTTGGGTTTGGCGATAGCAGGACTAGCTTGTGCAATCCGACCAACATGTGCTATTATATGGGTTTACATTGGTTTCCTTGAGTTGCTTCTTACACGTGACAGATTAAGATTTGTTGCTCTAGAAGTGGTCCCTATAGGGTATGTCACCTTTCTCTAAATGATCATCTTAGCTTTCTTAACAACTTATGTTTGTAAATCGGATAGAGGCATATTTATTCTGAGCTATGATTCTTTTGATGTGTGGGGTAAGTTATGTGAGTTCTGAAATTGTGTAAATTGCAAGCAAGCTGTTAGTTACCATATGAAATTTGTTCTCCTCTTCTTCTCATGTGTATTTCCTTCTTTCTTGTGTTATTTTTTGTTATTTGTCTTCACATTTTGGTATACTCTATTAGGGCGCTCATGCTTGGACTTTCAAGCATAGTTGATCGTGTCATGTACAACTCCTGGATATTTGTACCTCTGAATTTCCTGAAGTTCAATTTTCTTTCCTCTGGTGGGGATTATTATGGAACTCACCCGTGGCACTGGTACTTTTCTCAAGGATTTTCAGTTATGCTCTTCACTTTCTTACCATTCTCAATAGCTGGGATCATCAAGTCGAAATATTGGAAGCTTTCTGGCCTTGTTGCATGGGTGTTAACTCTCTACAGTGTACTGGGTCACAAAGAATTCAGGTACTATGATCAGCATCTTCCTTATGTCACAAGTTAAGTGACTTCCTATCTCAATGGTTGGCATTTTCACATGCCATCTTCTGATTTAAGCGATGACCTACAGGTTTGTTTTACCGGTGCTTCCAATAGCTTTGATGTTTTCTGGATATTCATTGGCCGTGATGGCAAAACCTGCTCCTCCAAATAGCAGAAGGAGAAGCTCTCCATGTTACAAATGTTGTTCGCAAGCTGGATTTGCTGTCTTCTTCTTGCTCGCCACTAATATCCCAATGGCCTTGTACATGAGTTTGGTCCATCAGGTATTTGGCTATAGGCCCCATCACTTCGATGCCTGTGTTGTTGTTGACATAGGGCAGATTTGAAATTTACATGAAAGCATGTCTTTTTGTTGATACTTACTCTGACGCCTGTTAGATAGAGAGGAACTGAAGACGTGATGATCTACTTATCCAAAGAAGCTCGTGGTGATAAAGTCAGCCATATTCTCTTCTTAATGCCTTGCCATGCCACACCTTACTACTCCACTCTGCACCACAAGGTCGCAATGCGTTTCCTGGACTGTACGCCAAGGTCAGTTCTTTGTATCAGTTTCTTAGAAACACGTATCTTGTTTTCCATCCAAGCCTTGCAATGCTTACTATGTACTCTCATTTCAGCGAAGAGAAAGGAATCCCAGATGAATCGGATAGATTCATGATTGATCCAGTTGGGTTTATGGAGGAATTCTCAAAGAACTGGTCTCTACCTAGTCATATTGTGTTATTTGAATCACAGGAACAACTGTTGAGGGATTTCTTGGTTTTACATTCCTTTAGAGAGGTAACAAGGATTAATCTTTGAACCCATTAGTTTCCGCTCTTATCGGGTTTTGTTATATACATTTGCTTGTGTGTGTTTCCTGCGGTTTATTCTTCTACTTGAGCTAACTCAACGTTTGCGAACAAACAGTCGCAGAGGTTTTTCCATGCCCACTTCAAGGTGGACCGCGATCTCCAAGCTTCTGTTGTCATCTATACTTCGGACCACCTTTGATGAAGTCCTTCCTTTGTCTTTGATAATTCAACACATCTGAATGACTGAAACAGCTAGGAGCAGCAGTTCCGGTGTCAGACTTGCCTTGCCGTGGATTGCTGATTCAATTTGGCGTTTCATTTCCTCAACAAACAATCACCAGTTTTCTTTTCTCCATTCCATTTCTATGAGGAGGCTTTTTTATTAGCCCGGTTACTTGTTTCAAGTACTTGTTGACATTGTAGTATGCAGGATAGTTAAAGTTCACATAAGTTTTTGTTTAGAAAGACCGAAGCATCATTGTCGGTTTGCAATGAGCACCAGTATGGCAATGAGCACCAGTATTAGGACGTCCTAACACCAATAGTTGTTAGAAGAAGCATAATTGGGTTGAATGCGAACAGGGTTTGTGGTAATTATTCTCACTCATACTCATCCAAGCCTGCTTGACGTTCAGCTCAGGAAAAACTCATTCAACACTCGATTTGTTTACTAATGAGCTGAGTTTCAGTTAAGGCTTGTTCGGCTTGCTAACTAGCTCAACTCAAGAGCTTATTGAGCTCAATCTTGAGCTAGCTCGTTTTAAGATATTATCTTGCTCGACAGTGTGGCTAACGAGCCACCTCGACTAGCGGCTTCAGAGTGAATCGATTTATAGATCATAAGTTGCATTATTGATAATTTATAGGTTTGTTAGATTATGTATCTCATTATATATTGTGTTGACTTTGAGTATCTGAACAAATATGTTCCATTTATAATTTGAAAGGTTAATAATGTATCATAGATTGCTTACATGGTTTAGATACTAACTACTATAAAATAATATGATATGAACAATTAAAATTGACGAACTAAATAATATGACGCTTGAGCTTGAGAGATGTTGCTAGCTAATTGATGGGCCAAGCTCAGTTATAGCTAGTGAGTTCATTATAAGTCGAGCTAGAGCTCCACTCATTTATTAACGAGCTGAGCTTAAATTAAGTCCAAACTTGAATCGGCTCATTTGTCGTCTTACTCATCTCAATCTTTCAATCCAAAATTATGCTCCCTCGTTTTCTTGAGCAATGTAGTTAATATGGTGCTTTAAAACTTAAAAACTTACGCTTTACACTTTTAGGTCACCAAAACACTTCTACATTGGAATTACACTTTTCACTTACACAAGTGTAGTGAAAATCTATGTTTTAAAGTTTAAAAGATTACGTTTTTACACTTTTAATTCACCAAAATGTTTCTACATAGAATCACGATTTGACTGCATTGCTTGTGAGTCAATATACAGAATATAGCTCTAAAGCTGTGAGTAATACTTACACCTGAAAAAGTGAAAATAAGCTAGTCTTGTTTATAAGGCTGTCACTAGTACAAAAATAAGGCGTGGACTGCAAAACCCATCGCTCATTTCTGTCAAATTCATATTTACATCTTCCAAAAGGAGAAACAGAAAGAATGATTGGGATCTTAGAAACGAAAAATACCAATCTATCTCACAACTATCACAGTGTGACAGTCATTATTTTTGTCAGAAGATCTCTACCCAAAGAAATAAAATTTGGGTATGGCGATCAACGAGAGGGGGAAAACACATGTACAGAACAAATTCATGTCTCCTGCTACAATGGTGAACCAGGCACAACAAAATCCCGTCTACTTCATACTCACAACCCTACTCAATATATTAGGCTTCTTTGCTGCTGCGGTGGCAGCAGCAGCGTTAGTGATAGCGTTATCTCCTGTTCTCTTATGACTAATAACAACTTCTTCTTTGATTCCATTGATATGATGCCGTACCTGTGGCACTTGTTCTACTTCCACTCTGCTGCTACTTGAGATCTGCAGAAACATTCGAGTACGTGTTTAACATGGCCCACGAACGTGCGAAGTAAATGAAACTGAGCTCTAAGTTATATCAAACCCAGTAAAGAACAACTACCTGGGCATTTTCTGTTTTGTACTTCTGGAGTTCTTCCTGGGCACATATCAGCCTGCGTTATCACAACACACACAAAATGTTAAGTTGGTCCGACTCTGCAGGGCGTTTGATGCAAAAAGGGTTTGGTTTTCCAGCGTTGTTCAAATCAGTAGGTAAAGTCTCCAACTTGTTGATCAGTACCTCCATCTTAGATCTGTTACTTCAAGAACCAACTCTTTCTCCCTCTCATGCATTGTTTCCATCTGGAATTGGATTGTCAAAGGAAAATAAAAAAATTGGAGGTTAGTTCTTCTGTTGGAAGTATTAAATGCATATAAGAAGGCCAACAACGAAGGAATGTCATGGTATTACCAAAGATTTCTCCATGGAAGCAAGTTGTTGAGCAGATCCTCCTTCAAGGCCACGAAGGGCTACAGACCAATGAAAAAGACTAGGATAAGTTCACCTGTCTTTATCCTAAAAACTTTTGTTCTGAGACTGGCTATAGGAAACAAAGCAAGAACAAATAAGAACCTGTAGTTTCACAGTTGGACAACTGCTTCATTATACCAAGGATGGTGTCCTGTTGCAGGGGGTGGGGGGGAGGAAACATGTGATGAGAAGAATTCGGTTTACAAATGGAAACAACACTTGCTACGAAACGTACTCTTTGAATAATGTTTGCCTGAAGAACAGACTGTACGAGTGGATATACAGAGTAAACCGAAAGACTTGAGGATATGCCTTCTGGTGTTGGCGAAAGAAGCATCCCAGGAATAGGAGTGATCACCTACATAAATAAATAACACTTTTCCTAAGACAAAAAACAGCTCAGGAAATTCAAACCTCTGAATTCTCCTAATGATCCAAATATAAGCTCTAGTAGTCATATGTTTTCCTAGACTTCTCACATTTATCCTTTCTCTCACAACTAGATTGAACTCTTTTATTCTTCATAATTCTATCCACCTCCTCCGACTCCCATGCCCTTTCGCTAGGAAAAAAGGGACCAAAGTAGATTTTGGTTCACTTGAGACTTTTAACTGGTTGTAGTCAATCGTTTAAACACCTTGAGGATGAGATGATGTTTTGAGTGAGTTGATGGGAAACATGAGTCTTGTTGTATGTCTTATACATAATCTAATCCACAAAGTGGTGAAAACTGGGTATACGAGGCTCTCACATTTGCAAGGTTACGGGAAGATAGGTGTACACAACCTTACCCTTGTTTTCACAGATAGGCTAGTTTCATCTGTTGAACCCCTTACCTGTAGGTCACAATGGAGCAACCTTAGAATCACACAAAGGCTCCTCTAGATAAATCCGAAATTTCAAATCAAAGAAAGAACGAGGCTGTGAAATGAATCTAACATACAAATAGAACAAAGATGCAGACAGAGATGTTGCAGGGGAAAAAATGTTGAAGCTAAGTGAATAATATTATGTTCATGCTAGAAATAGTCATCAAAACACGAAAGGGGTAGCGAAGAGGAAGCAGCTTATGCTCAAATATATTCGGAGCTGATGAAATTTAACCGTTTTCTCGATTGATCATTTCTTAATCAGCCAACACACCATCTAAAGATAGCATCTCGAACTGGTAAATGTCAAACTTTGGAAAGAAACTGAAAGATAAGCGACATCAAAGGTGCTAAGGAATGAGGAGGGATGGAGGAGCGTGGAAGACTACTTTATAAACCCTTCGTTTCATTCTACAAATTTCACAAGCTAAGAAGTTATTGCATCCACGAGAGAGAATTCCAGTGCTGAAACGAAGTTCTTTTATGCAAATGCTTTATTTGTAAAATAACGAACCTGCATGCTGTGGCTTTTCTGCAACAATGGGGATGGTGGTACCTGCAACAAAGAAGAGTTGCACATCATTTAGATTGAAGTGACAGAGGATATAAGATGAAACCCAAGAACCCACCTTTTCTATATCAACATTCTCTGAGGTAACTTTGAAACGTCCTCTTTGTTGAACAACAGGTGGCTTTGTTTTGTCATCTGTTTCCTCACTACTGCCTGCATCATGAAGTGGTAAGAAGAGTAGATAAGAAAAAATTTCACGTGCCTGAAGAGGAGATTATTAGAGGATGACAATCATCGCATATAAATATAACATGTAAAATCAAGCAATTAAGAGAACTTGAAAACTACCAGGTAATTTGGTTTCACCATCGAACGCCACTGTTGAGCCGTTGTATGATGGATTTCTTGGGAGTTGGGTGACCAATTTATCACTTTCGGGCACATAATGAAAGTAAAATGAATGGACATCAGTAGAGAAATCACTCACTGCTAACAACCTACGTGCATATAAAGTTCCGAATTTTCAACAAAATTTCAGTTCAAGATTTGGACTTCGAACCTGTCCCCTTTGCTTTGCGGACCAACAGGATCACAAAAATTGAAGCTGAGGCTACCAGGCCCTATCAATTTGCTTTGAGAATAAATAGGCATGCTCTCAGGAATTTTTGTATTTATTTCAAAAGTGGGTCTTTCAGGAGCATTGTTGTCAACAAAACGAGGCGAACAGAGCTGTGAAACAGAGCCAGATGGACTTGGAAGGTTGTACTCATCATCAGACTTCTCACCACTGATTCTGGAAATGACATTATAACATGCATCGGGAAAATTTCACACCAACGGTTAAGTATATGCATGTTGAGGGAACTTTAATAAACTAAAAGAACGTAGTTGGTGATATACTTTGTAAAGTTAACAAACGATTTTACTGTTTGAAGAGGAACAGGTCGATTTCGCACCATATCATTTTCATCCTGTCAAATCGGAGTAGTTAGGAACAACAACATCAAAGTGATCTATCCTATTTACAAGGCAATTGAAACACAATATTGTGACTAGTACCAATTCGATAGCTGGCTTGACAGATGAGGCCTGCGATTCATATTGTTTATCATGCCCATCAAGTGCTGACAGAGAACTTGAGCTTCCACTTTGACAATTATCAGCAACTATATCATCGTCTGGGATCTGACAGTAGAAAGTATTACATCATAAGGAGATTGAAGAAACCTAGATGGAAAACTGGGGACTTAACTGCCTAGACACAAAGTATCCATCACCATACCAGAGAAGCCTGAGCTTTCACGTCTTCAAGGTTGAAGTTCCAACCACTAATTCCTCGTTTGTATTCATTCTGTAACCACTCAAAATGACAAGTAAAGATAAGTTGCATCAACAAACTAAAGATTTCCATTAAGATAACATCCAACCTCGAAGAAAAATTTACAATGAAATTGTACAATTATTTTTCCAGTGTGGACAGAAAAATATTAACCTGTGATATTTCCTCCATCTGCCCATCGGGCATTTTCTTTTGTGCAAGCATATCCTCTTCCTTCCTCTATATCTCAAAGGTTGAAATATTTGTCAGTATGATCAGAACATAAGTTTTTTTAATTACCTAAATAGTTCTAATCAACAGTTGTCACTAACCTTCAATGCCTTAATACGATCACCAAGATTAGGCAATCCCTCTAAAAGTGTCCGTGATAGATAGTCACTAGACCTGGCTTGCTTGAAAAATGAATGTTTTAACAATTTCTTTGCAGAAGGCCGTTTCGAGGGATCTTTCACTAAGCAACTAGCAATCATCTGCTTGAAGGACTGGAAAGAAAATAAATGTAAACAAACGAAAATGTAGGCCCATGACGGAACATCGATAAAGTTGAAAGGATTCCTCAAGTAACTTAATACAAGTAACGTACTTTAGAGAATTTCTTATCTCTTTCATAGTCGAGACCTGGGGGCGCGTTTTGGAGAGTCATGAGCAACACCTTATCATAAGAAAGAGTTGCATTTTAGACCAGACAATCTCTTGATCCTTTCAAACATAGAACAAAATAAGCACGGTTAAGAATTAACCTTCATTGGAGGATATTTAGAGAAAGGAGCATGCCCATGGGCAAGTTCTAGACCAGTAATCCCAAAAGACCAAATATCAGCCCTGTAGGGAAATTGCCAAAGAAATTTTCATTTATGCACATGGTTATCCATGGAGAGACTCTAAATTTAAAATGGATTATAACACTAACTTGAAGTCATATCCATGTAATTGTTCCATGACTTCAGGTGCCATCCTGAAATATGACAATATTACATTAATTAATTGTAGCATTCAGAAGAAGACTATGTGGAATCCATTTTAGTTGCACTACTGTACATTAACAAAAAAAACATACAACAAAATTGGACTCTGCAACATTTAACTAATAAAATATTTCATAGATGGTCCTATAAGAGGTAGGAAGAACTAAGAAGCCAATTAGTCTGCATCCCATGCACAAAGTATTGGCAATGACTTAGTCATCTAGTGTAAAGTTTCAATTCCAGAAAAGGTGTTGTTATCTAGAAAAACAAGTGCAAGTTTTGGAACATACCAGCATGGAGTTCCAACAAATGTATTCCTCATACGTTGTCTATCACCTGAGTCAAAAAGGGAAGCAGAAACACCAAAGTCTCCTAGTTTTACCGCACCACGTCCATCAATGAGAACGTTGCCAGCCTATGAAAAGCACCATCAGATAACCGACTTCATCAAACAAGGGAAGCAACAGAGCTTTAGCTACTTAATTCATTTGAATCAGAGTATGTGAGTTGCTAGTGCACACGTCCAAAACATAAATTCTACACATGAGGGGCAACCTCTTCAATTTTGAAGTTGGTGTCCATAACCATAAGAATATTCTAATACAAGCTAAACAGAATGTACGGGATCAAAATGGAAAATTTCAAGGCATGGTAGCAATGGTATCCCTACAGGCCATGGTATTGTTCAGAAACTTCGACCTACAGATTGACCCATTGTTAATTGGTATTCACCTAAAACGATCATTTCAAACCCTGTGAGGTATCTAGAAGGATACCAAAGACGAACCAGAATAGTCAGCCACAAGCAGTAAAGAGGAAAGATGCAAGTAACTGACTTTAACATCTCGATGAATGTGACCATGATGATGAAGATATTCCAAACCCTTCAACACCTCCCGCAGTATGGTGGCTATGACTACTTCCTCGAAACCATCAGGGAAAGCTGCCTTCAATATATGAAGACAGGAACCTCCTGCCATGTATGGCATCACCACCCATAGATTATGGTCGCTCACAAAAGAGCAATGTGATTTCAGGACATTATTGTGGTCCACTAGTATCATTGTCTGTACCTCCCTGGAAATATTCACCTATTGAAAAATACAAACCCACATAAGGAGGCAGAAAAGAACAAAACACAGAACAAACCATCAATGTCACATATTTGTTACAACCATATAAAAAGTTCACATCTTTCCAACAAAATTCCTTACATTGGACACAATATGATAACAACTTGTAGCTACAAACCACTCAAAGCATATGAACGCCACAGACACCTCATGTGGGTCACGAAACCTGCATTTCCTTCCCCAAACGGTTGGATCCCAAAAAGTGGTTGTGATTTTCCCTTTACAAGATGTATTGCCTACTGTACTCGCACGATGAATGCATAACAAATTACTCAAATGAAATTGGGAACTGAATCCTACAACTGGAATTAAGCTGTTCAAAGGAAAGGCAGAACAATAGCAGAATCGGAAGAAGGAAGTTGTTACTCGAACGTAATCATAAACAGGGAGACGATACAAGGGAACAAGACAAGGACCCACCAAATCAACGTTGTCCCGCTCGAAATCGAGAATCTTGATGGCGACGATTTCATCGTAAGGGACACATCGAGCCCTATGAACGGTGGCACTCACACCCTGTCCGATCTCCTCGAACAATTCATAATGCTCCGGCTTAATTGGATACTTCTTCTTCTCCATTCCACAACCTCGAGGAAGAAAGGAAAAAAAAGGGGGGGTCTAGCTGAAGCGTGTTCTCTTTTCCTCCCAAAGTTCAAAACTTTTCCAGGATTTGCGTTGGAATTGGGGGAACAGAGCAAGTGGGTTCAGCTAACTTGGACGGGAGAGAAGAAAGGAAAGCAAAGGAAATGGGTTGATTCACATGAAAGAAAGAGGTGGACAGGAGGGAAAAGGCAGAAAAGCGAAATTGTGGAGGAAGCCAAGAGAGGGAGAAGAGAGGCAGGGAGTCGCTATTTTGCCTTTGCTTGGTCTCTGGTTTCTCGTGAGATTGGCCACAGACGGAGGCGCCCAGTGACACACGGCTGTGCGAAGGGATCGCCCTGAATTTTCTCTCTCTCTCTGTTTTCTTTCTTCTTTTTTCCTATTTGGGGTTTGTGGAGAAATAAATTTTGTAGTTATCGGGTATTTATAGGTTTTTGTTAAAAGATGCTCCCACTTTATCCGCCAACTCACCCTTCTCCCTCTCTATTTTTTTACTTTTCTTGCTCCCTTCTGTTTTTCTTTTCCACTTAGACGGACCTAATACTTTGAGAAGTTTCCTGGACCTTAGGTCTGGTTTGAACCTTTTGATTTTAAGTTTTGACCGTTGCATTTTAAAAATATATGTACCCTAAAAAATATTGATATTTTTAGAGCCTATAGATACAAAAATTCGTATACAATCCTACAAATTTTCATTTTGATCGTCCAGATTTACCTAAATCAATGACAAAAATAAGATGTGAAATCAACATTATATTTATATCACTATCATACCAATAGCATATCTCAATCAATATCAACATCATACCATTGCTACCGGTAATATCGTGATATGACATTGATATGATTACTTGAAAATTTTGGTCAAAAAAATATCAAAACTTATATAATCTTGTATAACACAAAAATCTGATATTTCTACGCAAATTTTTGACATATAATTTAAAATGAATGAGTTATGGTCGGTTCATAGAAGATTTGAAAAGTGTTTGACAATACACCTGAAAATCCGCAGGCTGCCCCAAAAATCCTTTCAGCTGCCTAGAAAGTCTGGTAAGCTCTCTCCTAAATCTCTTTGTATCCCTTCTTGCCCCTCTGTGATATGGATCATTAGATCTCCCATTCCAAAATTACAATCATTAGATCAGGTTTTGTTGTACTACAAAAAGGAAGGACTTTGTATCGGAACCTATTCCATATTTTTTTACTTGATTTAAACACAGAATGTATGTATTGAAAATAGATGATGTATTTCTAATACATATAAATGATGTATCTTTTTAGTGAGTGTACTGTAAATTGCAAATTTGGTTACCGAGAATACAAATTTGTTTCACATTTGTCCCTTCAAAAATTTTATTCTATTTGTGGTTACTCAAATTAGTGCATTAGTCCAAGTTTGGTCATTGCTTGTTACCTTCCGTGAGTTCGTGTTAAGGGTATTCTTTTTTTTGCTGACATGGCTAATAGATATGCCTAGTCATCCACTTTTAACCAGGAAAAATTAAAACCCGACCTGCCACGTCATAAAAATCTGCTCTATCAGATACCCTCACCCAACCCGTGACCCGATAACTCATCCTCTGCATTTCTATTCGGCCTCATGATATCCGGTTCTTCGACTTTCCCTTCACCATCGATCGATCTCTGCCCACAAAATCAATTTGCTCATTTAATCAAACTCCAGGTCAAAGAGAGGAGGAGATCATGATCAACCCCTAGGAAATAACCAACTGCTGCTCCCTTTAGTTTTCCTCCTAGCCCCGACGCCTCATCACCAAACTCCTCGACCCTAATATGGGATAATTGTGAACAACTTCCGTTAGCTAGAACCCAATTGCGCGGAGTTCTACGACCACAAGGAATTGGGAAGAAGACATTGTGAAGTCGCCCTATTTTGATGTGCAATCGGAGATTCAAGGAGAAAGCAAAAAGAGAAGTAGGTGAAGACGAATCCAAAGCCTCCGGTGGTGGCTGGGGCGTAGAGAAATCGAAGCAGTTGTTGGAGACGCTAAACGCGTTCCAATTAATCTCGTTATTGGAAGGGTTCGACCTCTCACCGCTCTTTAAGGAGAAGAAGAGGATGGAGAAGGAAGATGATTTAAGCCATTCTATACATGTTTTACCCCCTTGACTTGTATAGCATCATCCTTGGAGCCATTTTACATTTAGGTTTTGTTATGTATTAGGATCTAGAAAGTGAAATGGGCAAAATGATCGAAAGTAAGACAGAAGGTAAAAAAATGAGAGAAAGTGCTAAAAATTGCATGGATCACGGTTCAGGGTAGATTATCACGGACAGGAACCTTGAAAATTACAAGGAAACCGTGAAGAATGCAACTTCCTAGGAGCATTTGGACGTCCCCCCGACATTGCACATATCACAGGCACAGGGCATGAGGTTTACAAGGAAATCATGAATTGTGTAAGTGAAACAGTGATTTTTTGTGTCGGTGTCACAGTTTCACTACACACATCACGGCATGACGCCTGACCGTGAAGATTGCACTGCGGATATAAATATGAAGATTGACCATATTTCAAAGGGAAGAAGAGTTTTAGAGAGAGATTTGGATATTCGTATGCATTCTAGAGAGAAAGCGTTGAACCAAGGAAGATTGAAGGGAAATCTGACGTACCCAAGATCAAAGGAGGCCATATTGCATATTCAAAACCATACCAAGAAACTAAGAAGGAGATTCATTTTTTCAAGGGGTTTTTTTTCCTCCTAATGTTTAGTTGTAGTTCTTTCTCTAGCCATGAAGAAGATTTTTCATTCACTTGGATGATGCGGACTCTTGTCCAGGATGTTATAGTTTGATGATTATGAACTCTATGTTGTGATTGGCATGTTTGATTATATATTTATTTGAGTATTTTGTACTGCACCCTATTTTGTATGATAATTGAAGGGCCTTGATCGTAAGAGAAGATCTCCTTAGGATGATTTGGGTCACTATTCAATCATCGTAAGGGGGCCATGAACGAGGGTGATTGGTTTCTCTACGACGTTCCGGGTCATCGCCTGAGGAAGTGGAGTTGGTTTCCCTAATTGCTAATCCGGTAGTTTGATACGCCTCTCCGGTTAGAGCAATTATGCGGGTTAGGCCAACTCAAATAAGCACTCCTTACTAGCTTGATCTCTAACGGTATATATAATATGAAAATCACACCAGATTATCACATCATCGACTCAACATGAGCAATCATCCGAGTGAATCTTTCTCCCTTGAATTCAGCCTTGTTTTATTTTCTTTTTGTTTAGTTCATTAGTTGAAAACTACGTTTCTAATGCTAGATAATTTGTAGTTTGCCTAAGTAAGGACATAGACCGCCCGAGTTTGATAATTCAAAAAATACTTGCTCTATACTACCCCATTTGAAAGTTCCACTTGGCATTCGATTAGAAGTGTAGTTAGGACTGGGTCGGAAGAGCTGAGATTCGGTACCACTCGGGGTCAGCCAGCAACATGATATTTAGATTGGAAGAGGTCCTGGGAGATTGGGAATGGATAGATATTTTTTAGGTCGGGCGGGTCAAGGGGTGGTCGGGTCACGTGTTGTGTTGGGGTATCTAATGTAGCGGGTCAACCTTTAATTTTTCCGGTTTAAATTGGGTAACTACTGACTGGCTGTTTCTATTAGCCATGTAAAGTCTGACGCAAGGTAACGACCAATAATCAAACTTGGACTGTTGAACTAATTTCAGTGACCACAAATAGAATAAAAATAGTTGAGTGGCAAATGAAACAAACTAACAACCTCACCAAAATGGCAATGTATTCCATTTTAGTGAGAAATAGTATCCATATATCATTTAATTTATAATAATCCACATATTCATTTATGTTTTTCCAAACAATAAATTCTCACCCCTTCTTAATACACCATTTTCGGATTCAAAAGTTTCAGAGGATTTAAATTTCAAATCTAAATAATTGATTGGAGGCCCTTTTAGACAGAGTGCAAAGCTCATAGTCATAGCTTACATTAAATGATGGAACCACGGCAACGGTTCAGTTCGTTATTGTAACTTGCATTACAATCTACCTTAATTTCAACAAAATGCTCTTCCCTTTTCAATTCATTAAACAAAAACAAAGCTCCCTATAAAGCTTTCGACCACCCAGCAAGCATAGAACATTAATCAGCGCCACCAAACCTGTTCTCCCACTCCAACCATTGATTCCTCTCCCAACTGATAACCCCAAATCCAAACCCTATAAAATCTCAATTCCTTCCATCCCAAGAAACCAAACCAGCCATGGAGGCAACACATCTTCTCTACGAAGCAGCCATGCAAGGCCGTGTGGAAACCTTAACTACCTTGCTCTCCAAAGACCCTCTCCTCCTCCACAGAACCTCCTCAAGACCTCAACCCCTCCTTACTCCTCCGAAACGCCTCTCCACGTGTCGGTGTTATCGGGCCACCTCGCCTTCACCACCGCCCTTCTAGCCCGCAACCCTAACTTGGCCTCCAAGCTAGACTCCTCCAAGAGGTCTCCCCTCCACTTTGCAGCCGCCGAGGGCCACGCCGAGATCGTAAAAGCTCTGCTGATTGCCGATAAGGAGGCTTGCCTTGTACGAGAAGATGACGGCAGGATTCCTCTTCACCAGGCCGCCGTCGGAGGCCACGTGGAGGCTATCCGTGAGCTGGTGAGTTCTGTAGAGTCTGTGGTGATCATGGAGCTGGATGTTGGCGGGGATTCGTCGCTCCATTTGTGCCTACAGTACAACCATTTGAAAGCATTGAAGGTTTTGGTGGAGGTCTTAAGTAATGATGGTGATGCTGATTTGATTAACTTGCTGTCTTGCTGTCATGCATCTTGCTGTCATGTTCAAGCGACTAGAGGTAAGTATGTTTACAATTACATACTCGAATTCGACGTATTTTTCGCGCAATTTCATCAATTGAGTACACAATGTCATGATCTGCTAACTAATGGTATCAAATCCATGGTGAATATTGTTGGTAATTGGATTGTAACATGATGATTGTTTCGAATTTGTGCTTGCAGACAATAAAGTACTTGATCTCTCTGCCTAATCTGAACCTCAACATATCCAACAAATGTGGCCTCACACCACTTGACATATCCTAGAGCTGAGTCCCAAGCACTTCAAAACCCCTGAAGTCCGCGACATCCTAATCCAATCAGGCGCAACAACAACAACGAGAACTACGAAAAACATCGACAAAACACCATCACCGCCGCGGACAATCGAATCGCAATCCAACAAGAACAAACGGTCGCCGTCAGTTAAAGCAGCAGCAGCAACAGGAAGGAAAAAGACTCTAATGTCATGGCTCTACGTGCTCTTGAACTGCCTCGAGTACCACTACCTGTGGGTCAACGAACAGCGCGATGGGCTGATGATCGTAGCTACCTTGATAGCCACGGTAACGTACCAATCGGGCATCAACCCGCCAGGAGGCGTCTGGCAACAGGACGCCAAAGAGCCAGACTACTGCAGTAAAATGTCTGTTCACAAGCATTGCGAGGCAGGGTTGGCAGTTTTGGCCTACACTTACCCGAAAGAGTATTAGAGAAAAGTCATAAAAGAATTTTCTTTTTTATTCCTTCTCTCCCACGGCTCTTATTCCCCACTTACATTCTGTTCCTATACTCAAGGAACGTGGGTCATCTTGTTAGCTAGAAACACTCATTGTACATGTATATTAGTTGACAGAGATATCAATACAGATTACGTTCAGTTTTCTACAACAAATTCTCTCTACAATATTCCTAACAAAGAGTACAACGACTTCGTGCGTTACAACACGATCGCGTTTGCTGCTTCCGCTGCAGTTATCCTGCTGATCTTGGGAGGGATCCCTCTTCGGCACCAGTTCTGTGCGTGGTTGTTGACGCAGACTATGTTCTTGGCGCTGACGTTCATGGGCGGTGCTTATATGACCGGGCTGTATAACGTTACACCGGACAATGTGGTGGATAACTTCAATGACATTTCCAATATTGTGCTGTGGGCAAGAAGATGGTGCAGAAGTACTGCAACAAGAGCTCGTCGTCATCTTTAAATAAGTTCGACAAAGGCAGCACGTCCGGTAAACAGAGATGCCCGCAGAGAAAGACCGATGGCGAGGAACATGCAGTGGCTATATTCTAAAGGAGAAGGTTATGGTCGACTGGAGATCCACTGGCGGTTTAGCAAACAAGTTCAATCGACCATGAACACCATTCTCAAAATTGATAGCAGGGAAGAAAGTTATATTTGACAGTTGTTTAAAAGTTCGACCAAATCACTACTACAACCAACCAAATCCAAGATTGTGATAGAAAAGAGGACACTGATTGATCAACCTTGTAGGATTATGAAATAAAAATACTATGAACCCCACAATCTCATTCCTACAAATTCCCAGGAATCGATCGAGTCAAGTCGTCAATCTTCAAAATCTCCAGCGTGTTCCAAAAGGTAATTAGCTGCTAGTTCCTCGTTTCGATCACAGGCCAAAAAGGCTTCAATCACAAGGGGCCTATCAAATCCCATCGCCTCCAGCTGCCACATTCGAAATTCAGCAGTAATTAGCAAATGGTGAACCAATGGAAGAGAAAAATAAAGCGAAAAAGGTGACCAATGGAAGAGAAATTACGCATACCCGTTCAATGGCAGCCTGCTCGGCAGGTGTAACGTTGATGGCATGAGGCATCTCTTGGTCAGGCTGGTCAAACATCTCCCTGAAACCATATGGTCATTTTCTTAGCACATTTGTTAGGATGGCGGTCATTTCTTCTAGTGACTTAACTTCTTTCACAAACTTTTAGGTGGCAATTGTATTACTTACTCTTCTGAACCATCCTGAGGTTCATTTATTAGTTGTAGAAATTCTGCATGGTGCTCTTGGATCATTCTTAGGAGATTTGGGTTCTGCTTCCCAAGCTCCTGAAGCATGGGCTGCAACAACAGAAGAGATGCAATGGTGAAATTTTTGAGGCAAGTGATCCATCATCATACAAGAAGATGTCCATGGCGAAGAAAAAAGCACATACCTGTAAGATTTGGGGATTTGACTGAACCATCGAGCGCAATGCTTGGAACTAAAATGCAAGAGAAAACAAGAAAACAGAAAATTAGCTAATTGTCTTCTGAAGAAACCAGCAGGCAGAAGTTCTTACAGACTAGTATAGAATGGATTAAACAAACATGTAACATTGATGATGTTCAACAAACGCGAAAAGTCCAGAGAAACTTGTTTCATCGTCTCCCATCCTGATGAAGCACAACATTTGAGCACCTTTACTAATTCATTGACTGTGGTGTTATGGTCTATGGGTGCTTCAATGCTTTCGTAAAATGTATAAGTGCAATGCACCAGATCACTTCCAAACTTTACAAAAATGGCTTGAGATCTAATACATTTCTTACTCATTTCATGGAAAATAAGTGATTATTGCATTATCCAACCCGAAAAAGAATTATCACATTAAAGCATACCTGTTGATTGTTTCTAAGGAAGTCCAGGGATGCAAGACCACCACCAGCTCCAGCACCAGGAAGTGGCTCCTGGAGGAAGTGCATTTAGTATATAATATGAAGCAAACATCAGCGAACAATCAAAACTGTCGGAACGATAAGGATCTACCTGCGGAAACATGTTCAAGGGGGCAGAGTTAGGTGCTCCGGTTACAGGAGCTCCAGTGGCTGCCCCTGCTTCCGTAGCCTGCCCACCAGGCACACGAGCCACAGGGACAGCTACTTCGGCCGTCTCAGGGATACCCTAACAAGGAAGGTTGGTCAGCATCAGTGGCTAATCCAAGATCAAGTGTGGCGCCCCCAACATGTTAAATAAATACTCACAGAGTACAAGTAATCTACTGCCCTTTCTGGATTGTTATAGGCAGCCCTGAGTGCCCGAGTAACAGTTTCTTTGTCCCAAGTGCCTCCACCTATATCCATTATTTGCTGGATCGTTTGGTCTAAGTTGGTACCCGCAACTAAGGTTGATGCAGCTTGACTATATGTGTCAGCTGGTGGACTGCAACAAAGATAAATTGGATGTGTTGAGTACTTGAGTTACAATGCAAATTTAAGCAGAACAAGCCATAACTTAAAAGTTGAAGTGAAGTAGTCACGCAGGGAGAAGATCTTCAATAAAGTAGTCGTCTTCCCTTTATAAGGTAACAAATCGAATTCATCCAAAATAAAGACTTGTCTAAATTCTAAGAAGGACAGGACATAATCATGAACCTTTTAAACAAAATTAGCTTATTTCATTGACTGAAATCACACAGAAAATGTACAGACTCTAGCCATTTGTATCATACAGGCAAGGTATTGTATTCTCCCAAGAGTTCCAAAAAAAAAAGACTAATGGTAATTTCCATATCTGAACGCCTGCTTTGTGGTTCAGGCGTTCAGCAGTTGAACAAGGGCTCCGTGAACAACAGAGATAAATATGGGTTACTTGACCAGAGGCCAAAGGTTAAAAACAATGCCTAACAGCAGTGGAGACCAGGAGCAGAACGGTAGTTTGCAATTCAAACGAACCCAAGGTATTGAGACAATATACAAAAATAACTTTGCACATAGATGATATTCTAAAGAAAATCATACGATACAATAATTTAAATAGAAAAAAGCATGGAAACGTAACTGGGTAAACTCATGCAACGAACCAACCATCTATATCAATACAATGTCAAGTTCATACTACGAAAGAAAATTTTCTTGTTCATAGTTGCAGACACATGGATCTAGTCAAATTGGTTAAGCATACCCCAAAAAGTTGGGCCTGATATTTGCCTAAAGAAAGGAGTTCAATTATTAACAACATAAGTAGATCTAGTCATGATTCATAAACCAAGAGAATCTAGATTACAAGTTATGTCATACACTAGAAGAAACGGAGAGGTCAAAGATATAGATCTTACTTGTCTGTTGCTGAATCAGAAGCAGAAGCCGCACTTCTTGGGGCCCTGCAAATAATATATTAGAGATGCAAAGGAAAATACAGCTGACGGCAAAAACAAAACTTTAAACAATGGGAGTCATGGGACACTCACACTGTTTGGGCTTCAGGTGCTGGAGTTGGATTTGAGGTTTGTGAAGATGTAGGTGGGGTTGTTGTAGATGCAGGCTTTTTTCACGCATAAAAGGAAGAATTATTTGAAGAGCAAGAAGATAGAGGAAGAACAGGAGAAGGAAGAAAAAGAAGAACCGAGAAAAATACCTGACTGGACAATGCTGAAGTTGAGCCAGAACTTTTAGTCTATAAGAAGCAAAATGAAGAAAAAAAAAAGATCAAAGAAAATAGAACTGATCAATCTGCAAAACCCCCCCACGACAAAATTTCAGCCACAATCACGATAACATTCTTAAATATAAAATATGTTTACAGAATAACTGAACTTCCATGGCATATCTTTCAGTTCAACTTTCCTTCAAAGATGTTCATAACACAATTGTTCTACATATGCTTGCATCAACTAAGTCCTCATGCACAACCGAACCAATGCCTCAGCGTCAGAACAAATTGCAGACTCCAGTTACAATCGGAAATACAATTACAACACCATAAGGATGAATGAACCCAATAGTTACTTGAACTGTCTTTTTTTTTTTTTTTTTTTTGAACTGTCTGTGAGAGCAAGTTGCAACAATACCTTGCTAAGCATAACAACCAGAAACCCATCTTCTGAGACATTGTTCTCAGCTAGTGTAGTCTCATCTTTTAACACTTTACCATTGTGGATCAACAACTGCTGAGCACAAGGGTAATTGTCTTTCCCCTGTACATCCTCAATGTTCTTCTTCACCCCCATTACCTATCCATCAGAACGAAGAGAACAAAAAATCATCAATAAAGCAAATTCCATCCTTGCTATTAACCAAAATTCCAACAAACTGCTCTCCTTCTGGAAGCCGTAGGAATTCCATCACAGCTTAACAGAAAAAGAACTGTAAAATCACAGCTCGAATACAATCTCAATCGGCATCGCAGGGCCGCAAAACCATAAGTTAGAAGACACAACGAGATATGGGAAGGGGGGCAGGTGGGGGGAGAGAGGAAAGAGTGACTGACCGTGTCGGTGGGCTGAACCCTAATCTCAAAATGGCTGCCTTTTAGGGTTTTAACAGTGAGCTTCATGGTGGAGGATTGGATTAGGGAACTGGGAGGGGAGGAGGAAGAGCAAAAGGGACGACGCTGGTGGTGCTGGGAACCCTAGGAATGGAAGCTTGAAACGAGAGACTGGTTTTCTGAGGAAAAAAAGGGAAAAGGGAGAAAGTAGGAAAGAGAGAGTAGCTGCAAGGCCAAGCCAGCAAACAGCGGGAAGGGGAGAGAAACAGAGAGATGGGACTTTCTTTCTACGTACTGTCGCTGACTCTCGGTTGGGCCTTATCCTGGGCCTATTATATTCTTTTACTGCGTGTTGGGCCTTGCTTCATTTCCTACTTCTCTACTCTTCTCGAACGTGTCATTCCCAATCGATACCGTATCGGTATCCCAATACCAAATACCGAAATCTCGAATACCGAGTTACATCCTAAAATCAATTCTAATCTCAATCCCTAAATAATTTCGATATCTCAATCCCAATCCTTAAATATTTTGGTATTTCAATCGGTACTTCGATATCCCAATCGGTATTTTCGAATACGAAATTAATTACATTTGTAATTAATAATAAAATATATACATTAAATTTTATTCTTTAATTTAGGGCAAAGAGACTAAGCAAAGAGTCTTGAGTTTGCTTAGAGCTATGATATGGATAAGAAGAATGGAGGAGAGGTGACATCTAAAGTTCTTGTCATTGGTAATCTTTAATTTGACAAATTGGAGGTTGAGAGACACTAATACTAGTGTTGTTTTTTGGTGTTATGAAAATAGCAAGAGATTAGGTGAGAGACGAGAGTGACTTAAATGGAAAAGTCAAATTTGAGTTGGATGAGGACTTCCAAGTTGTGAAATAGTTAGGGGTGATAAACGGTTGTCGGTTAGTCGGCTAACCGTAAAACCGCACCGATAATTTCAGTTAGTCGGCTAACCAAAAACCGATTACCACTTGCGGTTAGTGGTGTCGGTTGGGAGAATTAGGGGAAGCAGCTAACCGGGCGGTCTTCGGTTGCTAACCGTGAAACCGACGGTGCACCGAAAAAAACCGTCAAGACCACACTTAATAGCCAATTCGTCGTTTCCATATCCAAATCCCATGACCTAACTTCCTCCATCCCTGCCTCCTCCATTCCCTTCCAGATTTCCGCCTCCTGCTGCAACCAGCTTCCATCTCCGTGCCGGACGACATCGTCTTCTCGTCTAGTCGACATCTCTTCCTCCCGTCGGCGTCCCGTCGGAGTACTATCGAATTGTTTTTTGTTATCGCCCAGTCGACCTCTTCTTCACATCCAGTCGTTGTCTCGTCCTCACGCCGTCGTCAGCCCTTCGTCCTTGTCAGAAACAGAGATCTCGTCGTCATTCCTTAAGCTGCCGCTGACAAGTATCTCCGTGAAACTAGCTGCTACCGGTTATCAGCTAACCGCCTCACCGAACCGACGCTGGCGGTTGCGGTTTTCGGCTAACCGCCGGAGCTTGCGGTTGCGGTTGTTGAATTATGTTCTTCATCAGCCTCGGCTAACCGACTTGGCGGTGCGGTTAAAACCGAAACCGCACCGCTAACAGCCCTAGAAATAGTGATGGATTTATCTATGTAAATTATAGGGTTATAGGCAGGGTTCGAGAAGGCGCGCCTAGGCGAACGCCTAGGCTCAATTAGGCGCAGGCGGTGGAGGATCGCCTTGACTTGGCCATAGGCGTTGTAAAAGACGCTGGTAGCGCTTAGTAGGTAGGAATAGCGCTTAGTTTGCGCCTAGTGGAGAGAAGGAGTGTCTGGGCGTTCCTGGGCTAGCTTAGGCGGTTAAACCCAATACTCTTCGTTTTGTCCTAGAAAATCAGAAACTTGCCTCTTGCCCTAGAAAATCAGAAGCACGGGAAGTAACATCTGCTGCCGCCTGCCGCCCTAGCTCTCGCCCCATTTGCTGCTCTCTGCCGCCGGCCGCCGTAGGAGAAAGTCATCGATCACTCTTCTCGCCTTCACACCGCTCCGCTGCTATAGTGGGAAATAAAGTCGAAACTCGTCAACTGTTGCTCCTTCCATCTCCTCGGTACGTAGCACAAGCTTCTTGCCTCTATGAGCACCTATTAGCAGATGATTGGTCACTATTTGCTTGTTATTTGTTATGTTAAGTGTTTACTGTTAAGAACTAGGCATTGCTAATTTTATATGCACTTTGATTATATGAATTATTAAAAAAAATAGGAAATATTTGAGAATTTTTCCATTTATGCTCTAAACGCCTAGGCGCGCCTAGGCTACGCCTAATCAGGCAAGTCAGCAGTCGAGCGCCTGCCTTACGCCTAGCGCCTTTTAGAACCTTGGTTATAGATATAATATGCCCCTCTACTACGACGTTTTATCAAACATGCACATCTACTATTTTTTACATCAAATATGCCCCTGTACTTTGAAAAAATTATCAAAAATGCCCTTCTGTTAAAATTTCCATTGAAAAAATCGTCAATCATGGTTGAATTGAGATTTAGACGACCCGACATCGGCAAATGAGAGGGAAAATGTCAGTTTTGTCCCCTGTTTTATTTTCATGGGTCTTTTCAAAGTGAAATTATTTGAATGATTTGATTATACAAAAGAACCAAAAAAATTCTAAAGTGAGTTTATTAGGGATATTTTAGTCATTTGTGTCGCCCAAACTAAAGTTCGGCCTTGGTTAACAGTTTTTGGATGAAAATTTTAACAAAAGGGCATGTTTGATCATTTTTACAAAGTACAGAGGCATGTTTGATGTAAAAAATAGAGAGGGGCATGGTTGATAAAACGTCATAGTAGAGGGGCATATTATACCTATAACCCTAAATTAAATGGCACTCTTGATGGTTGAGGGTTGTGTAGTAGTGAATGAGAGAGTCTAGTTAAGAGGATAAAAAATACACACTAGCTTATATTTCGGTATTGATCGGTATTTCTGTATATACCGCTCCCAATCCCGTAATCCCTAATACCGAATAACAATTGAAATTCAATCCCAATCCCAATCTCAAGAAATAATGTGTATTCGGTATTCGGTAATACCAAATATAGACCAATTCAGTATAGTATTCGGTATATCCCAAATACCGGTACCAAACTTCCAGCCCTAATCCCAACCGTTGATTGGTGACAAAAAAAAGGAGAGTTTGAAGTTTGGTATTATAGATTACGATGTCGGGATCGGTATATACTTAAATATAAGATAGTATGTATTTTATCCAATGTTTTCAGAACCAGACCGAATTCTCAATTGAAAAAATTGATAGTTGATGGTTCAAAAGTTAAGCATTATAGAACGGTTGGTTAACCGTTGGTACATCAACTTACCCTTTTCCAGTTTCCAACCCTGAATTTTGTTCTGAATCCGCTCTTTTAATGGAAGCAAACACCACCTTCTTAGATTGACCAACAATGGTCAATGGGAGGAAGTCTCAAGTACTTCTCGTGTTTTCACACTTCCTGTATGCATAGGCTATTCACAATTTTGTTCCCTCTTATGCTACCATTGTCGCTAATCCAATACCGCATCCATTGCATTGATTGAGCTAATGGTGACTTCGACACTCATTTTCCAAACACACAAAACATGCACTTCAACAGAGATAAAGGCGAGATGCAAATGTCAATCGAAACACTGATACAAGAAGCACATAAAGCTCAAAGCAATTTCAGCAGTTCGGGTTGTTTAGAGAGCCATAGTCGGTCGATTACATCACAACAAGCAGTAGTTGGCAAGACTCTGTGCCTTCATTTCGGACATTTAGAAATCCTGAGTCATATTATATACACACAGATGCAACGGTCATGTAGAAAACACCATAGCGCCCAGACCACCGAGTGAAGCAGCCTCAGATTCAGAATTCCCTTTCTGGGAACAAAATTGGAGCAAGCAGCGACCAGATAAAGAGACCAGCAGTAGCCCATCCTGTAAGGACTCGGACCCACACAGATGGCCACCCGACATCGACCAATCTTCCACTCTCCCCGACTGAGGTCGACCAACCAGTCAAAAGCATTGCCGAATACATGCTAGCCAGGGAAAAGATAATGTGGAAGAAAGAGTACGAGTATGAGACAGGCTTAGCGTGCTCTTTCTCTTCATGCTCATCGTCCTTGCTGTCCATGGGCAGCAGTGGCTTACCTGCAGCAGAAAATAAGTATCAGATCTTGACGCATTCAATATTCTGAGATCATTAATTATGCATGTAACTACTCAATATATTACCTGCACGGGGAGAGCTAGGGGGAGAAAGTAGGGTGGTAGAAGAACCAGCTCGGACAGCAGAGTATACAACTGACAGAACAGTTGTGAGGAGACCAAGAGTAAGAGTGCCAGTTGACACAGCCTTTGAATGGTGAAGACCATTGCATGCATAGTCTCTTGGCTCACTTGAAAGTCCACTATAGCAGAGATACATGCAGTACAGAGATATCACTGAAGCCGGCAAAATACTTCCATTCACCTGTTCCACCAAGCAGTAGAGTCAGTTCTAGCTTCCTCCACGGTTACATTGCAGATCATCCTACTTGTGATTCATGGGGAAGAATGTTAGATAGGAACTTACAGCAGGATGAAGTGCAACAAGTGCAAAAACAAACACAAGAATCAGGGCCATAACGATTAAGAAGGTGTTGAATCCACAGTCCTGCCCAGAAGGTGTGAACCAGTGAAAGAGAAACCCTGAGAAAACGAATGTTGCTACATAACAAACAAGCGACACAATGAGCAGCGCTATGTACCTGCAATGACAAAAGGGAAAAAATTAAACATGAGCAAGATTTCGAGATGGAAAAATCAAGGTTATCACCACGGGACACACAAAGTTGTACTTACCAAAACTGTTCATCATATCCAACCCATTTCTCATTCCATCCGTGAACAAAATCCAACAAAAGCACAACTTGAACAAGAAGGAACAATCCAGAACCAAACTTGGATATTGATTCTGCAACAAGCAGTCAGATCAGGAAAATTGTCAAGCTATGAGCGAAGAGAAAGGACTTTACAAGCTATAAGTGAACATATAATAATCTAGTTGTGGTGCTGATCACCCATAACACAAACAGGACTGGCAAAAGCAAGAAACCTCAGTAATTGAAAGCCATTTACCATAGAAGCTGATGATCTCGTTTGGCACAAAGAACATAAAGATCACTAATAGGAACCAAGAGATGATCTTCATCATCCATCCACCATGGTGCAAACTATCCCGAGGATCTTTCTGACTCTTAACACCCGCCATCATAATAGCCAGAATGGTGAAGAACACGAAATTTCCCAAACTAACACGCAGGACAGCGTCGGTTTCAAACCACTCCCTATCAGGCGTCTTATGAAAATGATTGATCCCTGCGTTCACGACCATTACACAAGTGTTAAAGCAACTCGCAATTGAACCTAAAAGCTCAGCTCCGAAGCCAACCAAACAGTCCTCTCATAATTTCACCATGACTGAATCACTCATCATATCACACGACACGCAAGACTGTAAAATTCAACTGGGAAGCTCACATGGAATTTTCTCCATCATGGGCGCCGCAACCTCGCGGAGAATCCAGGAGACGATGAGAGAGAGACCGAAGAGGCCGCAGTAGGCGATTCTTGCAGACCTCCGGCTTATCCCGGAGACGACGGTGCGGCAAGCATCGCAAGCGCAGGCCGCACAGCACGACGCGAGACAGGAAGCAGCCCACATCTTCTTGACCAGCCGTCGATGATCTCCCAATTAGACTCTCCAAGCCCTAAAACAAGAAAAAGATAATTCTTATCATCATCCCCATTAATAGTAACCACCAACCATCACCATTCAACGGAACCCTTAAACAGCAATTGAAGCTCGGAATCTCTTGCGTACCTACCTTACCTGCTCTGAGGATTTCGTGCGAATGAAGCGAGTCCGGCAGATCGAGAAAAGGCGAACTTTTGTTTCTGGTTTTCCCCTTCGTCAAAAGCAAAGACGCTACTAGGAGGAAGGAGCTCCGTGTGCGAGGTTTTGTCCTCTACGGTTTGACTCCTTCGTTAGACAGCGTCGCTGATGCCATAATTGCCATTGATTCTCGAATTTTATCTTATACGAAGTCGTTCTGTTTAAGTGGGCCGGACCTTGTGTGTTTGTTGAAATTTGGGCTTCTTGAGATGGGCTTAATAGAGAAGGGAGTGTGGGCTGAGAAATAAAACAAAAGAACATGGCGGCAGGTAAGGAAAAGCCAGCAAGGCAAGAAAGGAGCTTTTGGAGTAGTGACGGTGGCTTTTAACGCTCTCGGAAGGTCAAACCAATGTCATCAATTAATCTGTCCCATTCCCAATGCCGCGACGCGCAATTCCGGCCAGCGATTTCCCAATTTGCCTTCTTTTTCCTCCTCCACTGTTTTCTTCCTCATTAAAATAGAATTAATTGATTTTAAGAGGTAACGGTACACCGTATATGGATTCCTGGATTTGGATTTTGGAGTCGCACCACTTTGGAGTTGGGACTCGATAATAGAACGTATCTATCTTTCAATCCCCGACAGCCACGGGAAGAAGAGGACGTCAAGCAATCCAAAACAAATCTAAAGAAGGAAAAGAAGAGAAACGAGGGAGAAGAGAAGAAGATCGACCCTCCAAGCCTGCGTGCCGGCCGAAATTGCAGAGCTCCTCCGATCTCTCGCTCTCCCTTTTTTCTCTATCCATCCCGCCAGAAAACTGTAAGTCGTCTGTTTTCTTCCCTTAGATCTGATTTTTGGATGCTTATTTGTCCTGTTTGCGTTCTTTTCAATCGGTTTTTAATGGTCAAGATTGGCACGGAAAGATCTGTAAATGGGTTATCTTTCGATTCTGTGTTGAAGCAATCCTTTGTCTTGATGAGGTAGACACGGATCTGGAATTCCGGGGGAAAGTTCTAGCTGAAACGTGGAGGAGGTGAAGGGGGGATAAAGGAAAAAGTTAGAACCTTGGCGTGTTCAATCTACCGAATTAGAGTGATCTGCGACGTGTATGAACGAAAATATAAACCTTAGCATTTAGACTGAATTGTTAGATTGTTGGGGGGTATCATTGAACAATTGTGAAATTAGTAATTGGGCCTATTGCAGCAAAGGAGGGAGGGGTTCTGGCCAGCGTTATTGCTGTAGTAAGGCTTGGACTTCGTGTTGGAGGATCATTTATTGAGATGGAGAATGTTGAACATCCTTGTAGGGTCCGAGATCTTTGTTTGTCGATCAATCAGATTCTGTTTTACCATGCTTAGTTAGCTTTGGATTGGTCTTAGTTTGCCAGGATCTGCTATGCCTTACATAAGCAGCTGGCTTGCTTCCATCTCTTTTACTTGCTTGTATCTTGCCCTTCCTTACTGCATCTTCGGGTGCATCATGAACAAATTGTGATGTTTACCTTGGTCGATATTCCAAGAAATAGGCCCTGATCCATTCAGGATGCATGCTGTTGATTCATTAGGCGTTAGACTACCACCTCTTCGATTAGGTTCTCTAGTTCGTTGTACTTGGGAAAATGGCATGGTGTGTCGGCTTTTGTTCCAAAATATAAGATGCCATTTATTCTTATCTCAACCTTCCTCACAGTTAAGTCCTAATTGGCTTCCATCGCCGTGATCTCACCTCTGTAAGGACGTTTCTGCTGTCTCTTATCATTGGTTTTGACTCAAAAACTTTCCTGGAGTGTTTCAAGACCAAGTCGTGTCAACATCTGTTCCCGCTATAATTGCCTTCTTATGGAGTGTGGCAAGTAGTGGGCTGCTGTCTATGAGTATCAACGTTGGCCATTGCTATCGTTCCTTGTAAACTTTGGGACTAGTCTCTTTTGGTCATTTACTACCGTAGATTCATTCTAGTTCCTGCAGAAGTTATCTTCAAACATCTATTTTGATTTGAATGCTTGGTTACAAAATAGAAAATCTTGTTCTTACAATGCCACGGACTAATCCAGATTGACTCCGCAATTATTTCAGGACCTTGCAGGATAAACATTATGGTACTTGACAGCCTATCTTCCCCTCATCGGATAACATCATCGATTCGTAAAGGTTTCCCCAAGGAAGAGCTTGGCAACTGTTCAACACTCCTGAACAGACACCGATTCCTGCTAACTGCTCTGACTCTATTGGCGTTTCTATGCACCATCTACCTCTACTTCGCCATCACATTAGGTGCCTCCGCTGCCGCAGCAGCAGGATCGTGTTCTGGGATGTCCGGGAAAGAAAAGGCGTTGTGCCATTTAGAGCATGCCAAGACCTCTGTGACTATGGGGAAACTGAAATTCTTCTAATGAAATTGACACAGCTCGATCCGTTATAGTTTTCTCTTCCTTTTTTGGTCTTACTGTGTGATCAAAATCAAATACGCTGGTAAAGCATGTTGGAGAGTCGGGGGTGATCGATTGTGTAATCTTATTGTGTATTAAAAGGTTCTGTTCCAAAGAAATGTGGGTATCAGAAGATCAGCTGATTTATTGATTGTAATGAGCAAAAGAGAAAATATTTTCCTGCAAAATAGCAGACATTCATCTTTGTTTGTACCAGGGAGGAGTTGGGTTCATCGCTATGGTTTATCTGGAATTACATCAACCTCCCGAAGTCTTTCGATCAGTGATTATCGACGAACTTAACAATCCCTTCGATCAACTTCGCGAATTCGATCCCAGTAGGCGGATCCAGATCCAGAGCAATCTTGTTCAGGTAAAAGCTGTGTCCCATCCCAGCATTGATCAAAAGCTCCACATCTTTCCCGGCAGCCTTCATCGCCTCGTGGAACTCCATCTCCGTGTCCTTCACCAGGTCCTTCTCCGCCACCACCAGCAGGTACGGCGGCAGCTTCGTCCCGTCCAGCGGCGGAGCATCGGGCCCCATCGGGCACGTGATCGGATGGTCCTTCGTGGCCCCGACCGGCAGCGCCATTCCCAAGAACTTGTCTACCATCTCCAGTGTCAGGAGCGGCGACTCCGGCTGCTCCATCTCCGACCGGCTCCTCGTCGACCGCAGGAACCCCGGGTGGATCGGAATCGCTCCGGCCACCTTCACTTGCCCCAGCTCCGTTGCCGCCGACCCGGACCTCAACGCCACCTTTAAAAAGGGACAATTGAGTCAATTCAAATTGTCTAGTCACATAATTGCGTGAAAAAGAATCAAATTTAAAAATTCTCAAACCAAATTGATTCATCCCAATTTTATGCTCTCAAACGAATCAATTCGATTAGATTGTCAAAAACGAAACAATTTCTCCTACTTTTCAACACACCTGGTGGACTAAGTTGCCTCCCGAGCTGTCACCGATGAGGAAAACTCGCTGAAAATCCGCGCGGGAGCTGAGCAACGAACATGATCCGGCTTCGTTTTGGTTCGCGGCGAGCGAATCGAGCCAGAGGAGGGCGGAGAAGGCGTCGTCGCAGGCAGCGGGGAGCGGATGCTCCGGGGCCAGGCGGAGGTAAGGGGAGACGACGACGGCGCCGGCCGATCGGACGAGGTTGGTGTACGTGTTGTAGTACATGAACCAGTCGGGCTGGCTGATGCAGAACCCGCCGCCGTGGAGGTGGAGGAACACCGGGAGCTTCTTGTCTTGCTCGCCGGGTCGGGGCTCCGGGAGGTAGACCCGGACCCTGAGGCCGGAGGTCGGGTCGATGGTGACGTCATGAGTGGAGACACCGTCGACGAAGTGTTTGTGGGGAGGGACCGGGTCGGACATGAACTTGACCTCGGGCGGGCCGGTCCAGGCCCGGTCGACGGAGCCGTCGTCGTAGCGGCGGAGCCAGCCGGAGACCTCGTCGACGACGCGGGGGGACATGGTGGTGGTTAGTTGGTGGGGAAGTGAAAGCAGTTGGTAGTTTGGTGCTAATTATCGATGTTCGCGATGTTTAGAAGCGGCGAAATGGGGGTGTATTTATAGGGTGTTGGGAGGCTTTAATGGAAACGGGTAGAAATCTAGTCAATGAAAAATACTAGTTGACTTGGCGCCATGATTGAGGTGGGTCGAGCTCGAGTCGATGAAATGAATTTTTTTTTGTACAAATAATTTCATGAAAAGCATGATTTACATCTATGGTGTTTGGATTTAGGTTTAGGGTCGACTAATGAGAATGTGTCGGTAGGTTATTTGATTTTGGGCCTCCGAACGGTGGCGGATCCAGGATATAATAGAGCACTGGGCCGCATTTTGAATAGAATACGATATTGTAAATAAAAATTTTGGGTAAACAAAATTTATTAGCTAAACATTTTCGAAGTTTTTGAATTATTAGCCAAACTTTCAAAATACAAAGTATTAGTCAAATGTTAACTTACTGTTAGCAGTTTTGTTAGTAATATTGACTTGGCAACATGATACTGACTTGGAAGAGACACGTGCTAGCCAATATTCTAAAATTTTAGTATTTCAATTAAGAAAATAGTTACAAAAATACCAACGATAACAAACAAATGGCTAATATTTTGATGTGTTGCAAAAGATTTGGCTACTATCTTGTATTTGGAAAGTTTTGGCTTATAATTTGGAAAGTTGAAATGTTTGTAGTTTTCGTTCATTACAAATGCCAATTGTACTAGAATGCTTTTTAACTTGACAACTCCATCAATAATATAATTGTATGCTAAATTGAGTGTAGTTGATTGGATATGTTCATCTAGATTATTTTCCTAGCTACACAAAATCCTATTATCAAATAACACTCGCCGACTTTTAAATAGCACTGGGCCAAATATCTAAAATCGAAAAATTTATAAGCGATATACAATCTATACTAGCTCTGGATTCGGAAGAGGGCTGGGCCGTAGCCCGGATTGGCCCAGCCCTAGATCCGCCGATGCCTCCGAATATTAGCAAACATCTACTGGAAGTAGGGACAGGTTACGGTGATTACTATTTTATAGTAATCACCGTGGTTACTAAGGGCAAACTGGGTATAACAAAAAATTTATTAATGACCTATTTTAATAAATTACATTTTAGGAAATTACATAAATATATTAAATACAATTTTTCTCTCTCTCTTTCTCTCACTTCCACAATTTTTCAGCCAGATCTCTCTTCCTTATTTTTCTCAATCTTTCCTTGATTTCTTTCATCCAAACTAATACCACTGCAACAACAAAACAATAAATCAATACCAATCCATTAAAAAAATACTACCATTGTACAAAACATCAATACCATTCAAGAAATAAAAACACTACCATTTCACAAAACATCAATACCATTGCAGATTTAATCACTACCAATGCGACAAAATCAATACCAATGTAACAAAATCAATACCAATGCGACAAAATCAATACCAATGCGACAAAAATAATACCAATGCGACAAAAACAATACCAATACGACAATAACACTACCACTACGAAAAAATGACTACCATTTAAAAAAAATGACTACGAAAAAAATGACTACCATTTAAAAAAAGACATACCATTCCAAGAGCATCAATTCTGGAAACCAAGTTACGAGTACGAGAAATAGAGAGAAGTGCTTTGCTGGAGAGTGGAGATAGAAAATGCATAGGAGAGGTAAAAAGTAGCAGCAACTTACAATCAGAGGCCTTTTAACCTCTCGCCGCATCGGATTCCTCCCCCGTCGTTCGTCGTCTTCTCCTTCCTCCACCTCTGCCAAACCCTCGTCCTCCGCCGCTACCACAGTGTCTTCCTCATCTCTCCTCATCCGATTGACGCCGATCGACACTCCAAACAGCATCGGGCTCGGATCTGCCAGCTTCGACACGCTACCAACAGCAGGTATTAGTTTGACCAATGAGAAATTAACGAAATCAAGGAAAGGGAGGAGGGCGGTGGAGGGGAGGCCGGCCGGCAGTGGAGGAGGTTCTCGGGAGGGATGAGGGTCGCGGGAGGTTACGGTGAGGGAGCTTGGTGGTTGGCGGCGGGTTGCAATAGGGTAGGGTTTGGATATAATTTATAGAGTAATCAGGTGTGGTATATTTTTCAATTCCAAAATTACCCTAATATAATCTTCATCGTTAATTTAAAATTAGGGTGAAAAAGAAATAATGAATGGTGTAGATTAAGGTAGCCACCGTGATTACTAAAAATTAAGTAACCAAGCTAACTCATCCCACTGGAAGTATGTTAGTTGATTCAATATTATATTGTACCACGAACTTGGGGTGTATGAATGGTTAATTGTGATTATGAATTTATGATGATGCGTTGAATTTTTCTAAATAATATTAGAGTTAGTCATTAATCATTATTTTGATATATATATAAATGAGGCATGTATGTTATTCTTTAAAATCCTAAATTCCTAATTGTGTTTTAAGTGTTAGTGTTGTGGTATATGATCCACGATTGAACATCTCCCAACAACTCGAGTTATTGGGATCAACTCGTTCATGACATGGTATCAGAGCCTTCTGTGACCGAGAGGTCTTGTGTTCGATTCCCGGTGACCCCCATTTGTTAAGCACATGGTATTATTGTCTTCAGACATGTGCAAACAACTCGAGTTATTGGGATCAACTGGTTCATGACATTAAGAACCCAGTTTGTGTCATAAAGTGATACAATTTTTTTTTGCTGGATTAAAAATAATGATGATTAAAAATAATTTGTACGCAAAATAGAAAATTTGAAGAATTAATACAAATTTATTTCAAATTATTCTAACAATTTTTTTCATTTTATTATATACTTAAAAATAATCGGACCGCATACCCTATCATTTTAAGCAGTGGCGGATCCAGGGGGTGGCCACCTCAGGCCCCGGCCCAGCCCTCCCCTGGATTCGGAGTTAGTATAGTGTTAATGAATTTTTCGAATTTAGTTATTCGGCCTAGTGTTATTTTATAATAAGATTGTGTGTAACTAGAAAAATTATTCAGATTAACATATTCAAATCACTACTATAAATTTAGCCTAGAAATTCTAGCTTCAAAGACTATTTTTCTTAAAAAATAATGAAATCTAAAATTCTAAAAGTCTAAAACGTAAAAGACTATTTTCCTAAAGCAGTTAGTGGATATAGGTATGGACACACAATGCACGATTGATTTGTCTAGTGTTGACGCTGCTCGTATCAACAACTACTACAAGGAGAACCTTTTCAACAATGAAACATATGAAAACTGATTTCGCAACATAATGAACGATGAATTTTTAGTAGATTGCTAAAGTATTTTATTTAAAACAATGTATACTATTGGTATGGATGTGGACTCTATTATTGATGCATTCGCTAAATTAAAATACCGTCGTGTACAATTTATATTGTAAAAAAAACTATAATGTTTTTTATAGTTCTAATTTTTTAATTAAAATGCGGCCC